GGGGGCGTTGCTTGTAGGAATACGAGTCTATGGGGGGTGGGGGCGGAGGGCCGTCCTCTAGTACTTCAAACTAAATATTGTACGTTTCTTGTTCACACGCCCCGCTTCGAAAGACTCGTGGACTCCTCGCGTGATGTGGCTACGAAGAAAACGATACCATCTACGTCACCATACCGCAAACAAGAGACCGTTGTTCAGCGAACCCGATTTTTCCTTCACAAAATAAACAACTTTGGCGTCATGGCCCAAGGACACCCTGCCACGACCGACCAGACACTAAGAACACTTTCTCACTTCGTGCTCCACGAGGTCGCTGCGAAAGAGCACCAGGCGGTCCAACACCGGCTCGATGTCCCACTTGCGGCCGGCCTTCTCCTCCTCCTCACCCGCTGGTCGGGGTCCTCCTTCTTCCGCCGCTGCTTCGGGGCGGCTGTCCAGGTGCACCCGCAGCTGGCCCCCCATGGAGGGTCTCCAGTCGGGATTGAGGTAGTACAGCGCAGTAATCTGAACGATGTTTTCAGCGAGCGGGGAGAGGGGGGTTGGGGAGGTCCTTGCTCCGACTCCTGTGCTTGCTACGGCGGCATCAGCAAGGGCTGATTGGCGCGTTCGTGTGAAGGGGCGCGCGAAGCAGGCGATGGGGCAGTGGCAGGGCGCGATGTAGCTGTGATGCACCCTTGCATGCGTTTGGTCGACCCTTGCTAAGGGGGGGCGTCGTTTGGCCTTCCTGCCACGATGCCCTCGTGCAAATAAGCTGCGGCAAGAGACAAGAGATACAAAAACAATTACGTGAGAGACGAAAAACGCCGTTCTGATAGTGACAGCCGCTTATGTAGAAGACTCCAAGCTTCAGCAGTAAGATGTGCTCGGTTTATCTGAAGGGCGCGCGTGTCACATGTTTGAAGCAACCGCCAGGGTGATCGAAACAGGTGAGAGGTAGCGATACATCTGCACGCCGTCCGTGCAAATCCGCACCTTCCGCTCTGCTTCCTCGCTATCCTGAGCACTCCGCGGGGTGTCCCGGTGTCGCACGTAGCCGCGCCCGTCGCCCGGATATCTCGCCAGCTGCACGGAGGTAGTGTCCTTCACCAGGCCCAGTCCTGGCGCAGAGGAGGTCGTAGGCAATCCGCAACCGTCGTTAAGCGGCCCTCTCAAGGCGGACAAGCGCATCAGTAGGTTTTCGAGGCCCTGTTCAAGTAGCGCGAGCGGGCATGCACGCGCCGGACGCACATAAGGTCGGCAAGACTTTAAGCGCCATCAGAAATAGGTCGTCGGCAGACCTGCAGCATGTCGTACCCTGGTGTATTACACCAACGAGGCCTGAAGCGCATGGCATGTTGACGTCGTCGAACACTTTCTTCAACATATACCTGACTTTCTTCCCATACCTCCCCCCCCCCTCTCTCCGATTCCGTACGAAATATTTTCGGGATGGATACTCCCGATCGGTTGAGGACTTTTTCAGTTATACCCACTCGCTACACTGCTGTACGTACCTCCGGAAGCTCTCCCTTGCCCCGAATGCCTTCCGTGATCCACATGATACTGTCACCCCTGGACTGCTGGCCATGCCAGACTCCATCCCTTCGGCCCATACCGGCAGGCTTCATTTCTCCGCGGTTCTCAACCTCAAGCGCAGCTGTTTTCCAACGGGAGGAGTAACAATAAAGGTGGAGGCTGTGTCAGCGGGGTCGGTAACCTACACTACTTCTACATACTGCAAAGTCACAACACAGCCGTTCCAAGCACTAAGACGTAGATCTGAAACAGCAGGATTTGAAGCCGTTTGGATGCAACTGTAGTTGTTGAATACGTTTATGCATTTCATGACAGAAAAATGCCTCACACTCTGCAGCCCATGAGGGCGAAATGAAGCAAGCGTGTACAGTCGCCCGTGGTTCCGTGCTTGTATGGGGGAACCGGTAAAGCAAAGCAGAGCCGCCTGCTGCTTTTTTCTGCTGTAGATGAGTTGCCCAAACGGTATGTGCCCTCTCCTGCACCTACTACGCTCGTTTGTCGTAAATCCCTTTCCTGTGCACTAGACAAGCAGACTGGGATACTGAACTCACCCGCGTGAGCTTGCAATGCTTGCTCTCTGCCGAGAAATCCATCCTTGACGACCACGCCAGGCGAGCCCGCCGCGAAGCCTCCCGAGCTCAGAGAGAACAGGTCCGCAGGGGTAATCACAGGATACGAGTAATCATCTTCTGCGGCTGCTGGCTCAGATTGTCCAGAAGCGATTGCAGTGGAGCTTTCGTCTAACCAAGACATGATGCTGGCCTGCACCTTCGCGGGTAGCGCCATGGCACTGTAGGAGGACCCGTAGTGCGGGACAGAGTGAGACGACACAGGACAAAACAAGGGACACGGCACAGCCAGGACCACGGCACCGAGATGGCGAGCGGTGGGGGCCCTTGGAGGGTATACCCCACCCTGCGAAGTTATTTTCGTTGTGCCCCCGGTTTACTCTCATCTTGTGCACCCGCCCACACAACTCTTGCTGACCTGCACGCAACAAGTCCACAACACCGACCGTGACAAAGGCTTGATCGCTGACTTCTTCCATCTCCTGTTGTCCGTGAAGAGGAGGCGATTGTTAAAATCAAAGGCGGCCTGCAGAAGGTGTGTAAATGTGTGAATGTGTGAGGATGCGGGAAGATGTTCCCCTTCGGCTACAGCAGAAACTTGAGGAGTCTGCTGTAGACCATGTAGACAGCAGTAGACAGAGAAGCTGCTCATGGTATGTGCCAGACGGCAATGCAAGAGGACACGTGTCGCACACCAATGAATCAATGCATCCGGGGTAGCAATTCGCGGTTTACACCGACTGCTGGGATTCCTTCAGACAAGTTCTATCGCCATCGGCAGCTACTCCTGCTGTACACGGTCGTCCTGTGCTGTGTGCGGTTCTTCCGACACTCTCCGCAAAGAGCAGTGGCCAAAATCGGGTACACCCGGTCCAAACACGGCCATAATCGGGTACCCCTACAAGATGCTGCTGGGAGCGACCACATGCCACCATCTGGTTGGCCGACGCCCGCCCCTACCCGACCTTGACTGCCTTTCCACCGGGTGCACCCGATCTTGGCTACTCACCCCCGGGAGGAGTACCCGGTTGTTTTTTCCCCAACCCGAAAATGGCTGGGCTGTTCGACCAAAACCCATGCACACAACCACGGGTCGGACGCACACCACTGGCCCTCGAATTCGGACCTTCTGACGGCCCGGCGGGCGGAGGCCCACCTATGGATAGTGTGCGTGACAGGCCCACCTATGCATAGGGTCGGACTTGGCCTTCCAACAATAGCCAAGATCAAGTGCACCCGGTGGAAAGGCGGTCAAGGTCGGGTAGGGGCAAGGCGTCGGCCAACCAGATGGTGGCATGTGGTCGCTCCCAGCAGCATCTTGTAGGGGTACCCGATTGCCGTATATGACACAAGATAACACACCCCCTGGGCCGATTTTCAAAGCTCGATTTCTCAACAGCAGGAAGAGTCACAGCGCCGAAAACGGCGGCGTTGGAACCGTCTCGTCGAGAGGTTTTCGAAAATGTATTGTTTCGTTTATGCATCCTCTTCGTCGTGGAGTAATCGAGCTTTGAAAATCGGTCCAGGGGGTGTGTTATGTTGTGTCATATACGGTATGGCCGTGTTTGGACCGGGTGTACCCGATTTTGGCCACTGCTCCTCCGCAAATGTTACAAATTAACGTACTGGTATAGTTGCTAAGACCCCGATTTATGGGAACAAAATCTTATCGATAAATCTTGATCTTGGCCAAGATCTGCCAGTTTCACGATTTATGGGAGCAAAATCTTCCGATATATCTTGGCCAAGATTTCTCGAGGCCCGAAATCTGCCCTTTCGAACAAATGTTGACCCAAGATCTGTCGAAACGAGCCTTCCGACAAATCTTGAGGCGGTGTAACAAATCTTGCCTCAGTGCGGCGCGCTCACCGAAGGTCAGTCAACCTAATCGTCCATAACGCCATGAAATCTGCACGTGGCACACTCGCAAGGGTCTCTAACGCACCCTGACGTCACTGCGTCGGCGCCACGGGCGCCGACAGCGAACGAAAACAACCAAGGCGCGCGAAAAAAATGCGTATTTGCCCTGACTCGTTCCACGTGCGTCATCACCAGTCTGTGGAGGGACCGTTCAAAGAGTACTTAATTTTGAAGTAGAAAAATAGAGCAGGAGGAACGTTTTGCCAACACTGCTCTGTCGTGTGCGACGCTTCTATCTCTTCATCGAATCACCCCACACCCAATCCGTTTGCACCCGAGCCAAATCCGTGGGTGCAGATGACAGCGCCGGAGGTTTGACCTCGGTACGCCTGCTACATCGTGAGATACGTGCATGGGTGTCATCGGCCTCGGGTTGATGCACTTTCTTGTCAGTTGGACAGCAATGGAACAGTTTTGTTTCTCGGCTTGACATGAGCTCGTGGGCAACGGATTCAATTTTGCACCCCAGGTAGGCGCCCATCGCTAGTATCCACCCACAGTGTTGAGGCAATACAGGTGGGAGAGGGATGCCCCTTCTACAACTGCGTCATGCTCACTTTTCGCCACACCTTGGCATTTTCTGTGGACCAAGTGGCCGTTGTGCCTTTTTGAACTTGTAGAAGAGAGGAACAACACGCCGCTTTTTCAACATTCAAGATATTTCCCCCATAAATCGCGATACTGCAAATCTTCGCGGAGATATATTGTGAGCAAATCTTGGGTGGGCCTGTCACTGCTATACAGGTCGGTTCGTCCCTCTTGGTCCTTGTCCTACATACCGCGACTGCTTTCTCCTCAGTGCCTATCAGCCCATCTGTTTCACATCTGTCGATTTACCATATACCACATATATCGCCCATTGCCGGTGCTAAGACCCTTCTTTATGGAAACATAATCTTGCAATTATATCTTGGCATTTTGACCTATGCATACTGTCTTTGTGAGTGAAGCAGTGAGTAACCTGTTACCGCGACAGCAAACAAACTTGATCAACAAAACTTCGATCGTTTTCGCTGTGCAGAAATAAACCCATGCTACCGTGCGATAAAAGATTCCAAGGTGACGTGTGCTACTTGTAATTATTTCCGATGCGGCAAGGAGGAGACGCGTGTCTAGGAAAAGGATTAGGGAGATAGCCCGCATTAGGGAGATAGCCCGCATTGAGGAGCACAAAGAAGAGTGCACGCTACAAGTACACACATGCGGACCTCTGCACGGCCGTGTGAGGCATTCCCAAACAGTGGAACAGCTAATGTAGTTCTTGGAAAAAGAGGTCAGAACCAATTCTCTCGACGTCAACACAAGAGCAAGAACAGCGAACAGCACTCGCCACTTCTACTGCTCTACTTACGGTAGGACCGACGCGACTCACCCCACTCCTTCCTACCACTGTCATCGATGTACGGCCCTCCAACCCAAACTCACGGGTCACAGGGCTTCACCCCCGGGGCCAGCCACCACCACACCGGCAAAAAAAAAAAAACATGCCGCTCGGGGTCTTCAACGGCAGCGGCGGCAGCAGCCCGGAGGAGCTCTTCCGGAGCATCCCGCCCGTCTCCAAGGTGCTGATAGTGGGGATGGTGGGCACGATTTTATCCGTCGTGCTGGGCGTTTGCTCCCCCTACCAGTACGCGCTCTCGTGGCCGCTGGTCTGGAACAAGTTCCACCTGTGGCGGCTCTTCACTTCGGGCATGTTCCCGGGAACGCCCAGCTACGAAACCCTCATGTTGATGATCTCCATGGGAATGTTCTCGATAAGGTAGGTGGGTTTGCCGCCAGGGAAATAGTTTTTTTTGGCGCGGGTATGCGCGGTGATGGATTTCTGTTGGACATCTCGCTTAGTGCTTCTTTTTTATGAGGGCATGGAGTCACGCGGCAAGCAAGCCTGTTCGGCCGTTGTATGTGGGTGTCAGGCCCGAGTCTGTCTCGAGTCCAAATACGTTCACCTCACTCTTGTTGTTGCGATTGACCACCGCCTGTTTCGCGGAGAAGGGTTATTGGTTAGGTGGCGGCCCGCGGCCTGTAATGTAAGGCACAGCAGTGATGGCATGGTATATCGCTTTCGCTGTTGTGCGGGTGATACGCATGCCAAAACAAGGCGTGTTTATGAGGTTATGAGCACTTCCTCAGCAAATACTCAGAAAACTGATTGCGGGAAGGTTTGACCGACCCGTCTCGCTGCTCGCGCGCACGTGTGTGTGAGTTTATTGTTAGCATCGACCGCGCTAACCGGCTGACCAATGAAAATACGTCAGTCTTAGTGCGGTTGAGAACGCAAAACACTTCTATCTGCCATGAACTGGGACCCCGTGAGGGGGCAGCATGGGGGAGGCTAAACTATCCTTCGGATTGAAGACAGAAACAGCAGCAACAGAAGAAAACTGGACGCGTCTACCAAGGCTATTACCTTGTACTCTAGTTCGTTTAGGAGTACTTTCACCATTATCCTCCTTGTTTTGGCTACCATCATCCTGATCCTCATCTTGACAGGAATCTCTGGGCAGCTCTCCCCTAACCCTACGTTTCTTGTTTTGGGGAAGGTCATCTGGCTCAAACCCTTTGCTCTCTTCCACTCCTCCATGTTTTCCTCCTCCATCGTCGTTTTCGTCCTCCTTTCTTCCCTTTCCCTTTCCTTCGTGTGTGTGTGTATGTGGGCCGCCTCAAAGTTGAAGCCGCAGTAGACGAGCGAGAGAAGAAGAGTGAGATCACCGTGCCTTCGGTGTGCGTGCGTGTCGTCTGTACCTGATACTTTTTTTTTTTTTATTAGCCTTGCTTTGGCCTACAATGAGAAGGCGTTTGTTGAGTTGGTTTTGCGTGTTGGTGTGACATTTTATGTGGCGACTGTTTTTCATCGACAGTATGCAGAGGCCCACCGAGCTACTGCTTAGTACACGTGTGTTCAGAGGCAACTGGGCGCAACGATAATATTCCCGACATCCCGGGGAAGAAGGACACTCAGACTAGGGTAGTACTGTAGCAGAGCCTCCGACACATCGCAAGGACGCAAGGACCACTCTGCAGTTGATTTTTTTCCGTGAAGGTGTTTGTTTTACTGACTGTGAGCTGCATCGGGCCTACTCCTGCTGTGTATCGCACATGACTGCTGTGACTGCCGATGCCAATACTGACCGTGCGTTCTGCCGCATGCACGGACGTGTGCGCCGCACGGGCAGGTACGAGAAGGACGGGTTCAGCATGGGCGGCGGCGGCGGCAGCGCTGACTACGCGTACATGCTCCTCTTCGGCTTCGTGGGCATCGAGACCTCGCTGCTGCTGCTCTTCTACCAGCCCTTTATGATCTTTACGACAGCGATCATGTTCTACATCTGCTACGTCTGGAGCCGGAAAAATCCCGGCATGTCGGTCAGCTTCTGGGGCATTATCATAAACGCTCTGTACGTCCCCTGGGTGATGGTCGCGTTGAGGTATGTACGGGCGCGTTGGTTTTGCTCGCCATTTCACTTCCATGATTAGGCGTGTGAGGGTGACGTCGGCACAACATCATTTAGATTTCTTTCTTTTTCGCCGTTTCAGTCGATACTCCTCGACCCCACTATGTGGCAGGCCAGTGGTCGTGCGTGTCCTATTCGCATCTCACATGGCTGCTTGTACGGGTACATGTTTTGCATGACGCACATGTGACTGCTGTGCGCGGTTTGAGTCTGGCGACGTTCGCGTCCCTCTACCGATTCGGCAATCTCCGTTGCGGGAATCTTCCAGCTCCCCGTGTCTGCTTGCGGTACATGTTTTCTAGTCCCTTGATATTGACCCTTTGGCGTCCATGGCGCTCCAAGGTTTCGTCTGTCTCAAAAAGCTTGTTTAATCCCCGTGGTCTTGTGTGTGTGCGTTTGAACTTGCATCGACCGCGCTAACAGGCTGACCAACAACAATGACAATACTTGAGTCTTGCGGCCTGTGTGTCTGTTTATCTTGGTACCGACTCCAACTTCGTCGAAAGCACGTCGACCACCACCGCAAGTTGAGGGAAGCAGGAAGAGGTACACAGTCAAGCCACCCAACAGCCGTCTTCGTCACACTCATCTCTCCGTCCATCCGTGTGTGCGTGCTTGCTTGCCTGCTTGCTTGCCTGCCTGCCGTAGGGTGGTTCTCGGCCATAGCATCTTCATGGCCCTCCTCGGCATCGCGGTAGGCCACCTCTTCTACTTCCTCGTGGACGTGCTGCCGGACCTGCACGACATCGATCTGCTCCAGACACCCCAGTTCCTGGTCAACATGCTGGGCTGGGGCCACGAGGGATCGGGTGTCACGATGCAGGCAGGTGGCGGCGGGGCGGCGGCGGGTGCCGGGGCAGGGGCTGCCGGGATGCCCGCCCCGGGTGCCGTTCGACCGCCGCGGGACATCCCGCGAACCGGGGGAGGGTCGGGTTGGGGGACCGGGAGGACGCTAGGCTCTTCCTGATCTGACCTCGAAGAACCCACCGAAGAAAAGCGAGCCTTTCGCTGTTCAGACTGTGTGGCAGTTTGCCGTTCTGAACAGTGAAATATTTCGGGCCGACATGTGTAACATTCCGTGCACGCACGGTGGGGGTGGGTGGGCACGCTTGCACTGCCTCTTGTCGGCAACGATGTCTCTGTAAATCACGCTGCGTGGAATCCGGTCGAGGTAGTGTCGCCACTGATGAGGGTGGAGATACTCTAGGCGTGTCCCACGGGGAACTCTTTCTGTCGTCGTGAGACGAAAGCGACTCTCTTGTACAAGGCCCAATCGTTTGTTGCGGGGAGCGCCGGTGGGCGAAGCTTTGAAACGATGGAAATGATGGGTCGTTGGCGTGTTTCGTCTTGCAAGGGTGGGCGTTCATTCATGTCTCGTTTTATTTCGTGTGTATTCTAATCTAGAACGTGGGTGTCTTGCTAGCGGGGGTAGTTATCGACGTTGTCCCTTCGTGTCCGCTACAGCCGGTCAGAGTCAGCCCTTCTGGCTTCCCACTCAGTCACGCGGCTTACCTAGTTTCTCGAGCCATGAGGCGGGGCGGAAGCACTCTGGGACCAAGGAGCAAAAGGTTATGTATATCAAAACGAAGATAAAAACAGGGATGTATTTGTGCATGTACCCGAACAACTGGGACCACAAGTTTTGAACACCGCAAAACTTCCATCCTTCAACTGCGGCGCCTTCGAACATCAATGCACGCCAAGTAATCAACACAAACAATGAAGAAAACACTACACTGTTCTCCTACCGAGTGGCAGGCGCTGTCGCTCAGTGTCGCTTCGACCTCCTTTGCCTAATAAAGAACAGAGGTATCTGTTTTCACCCCTGCTTGACTACGCCGTCCCTGGCTAAACGAAATCAATGCCATGCCGATCCAAATGCATATCCATATTCAGGGTGCTGCCTCTTGCCTGCCTGATACCTCACATTCTCTCCTACATGCACACCAACTCCTGCGGACATGCTGCGAGGAGTTTGCAGCAAAAATTATGAAAAAAAAAAAAAACTCTCCCAAGTCAGCAAATACAGAAGACACAAGGACAAACGACACACGGAATTGTCAAAATAGCCCCAGCACCCACATTTTCACACTGGCAACCTGCATTATCTCCGCCGTCTCTCGGGGAAACAACAAAACATCCGCAAACAGCCGTCATCGCACGGTGTGTTGTGCATTGAACGCGACTGTTCACCAAGCGAGGGGCCACTCCCCAAGCCCGGTAGGTACAATGCTTCGAGCCGTTGCTCTGTCGACGGAAGATTTTACCCTACACACCCACAATGCCCGAGAACATACAATAGTCTTTGGTAAAAATCTTCACAGCCACCATACACGAGAGAGAGATAGAGAGAGAGAGAGAGAGTTTGCTGGGAGACAATGGATGACAGAAACAGGGGGCGACATCTTCTTTCTCCATTTCCACGAGAAGCGTCTTGAAGGAAAAAGGAAAGTCATTATTCTACATTATTTCAACGCGCGAAAAAAATTGCGTATCCCATCCAACAAATTATTCCCGGTTACCACGTTGAAGTTTCTCGTCCACAAAACCCACGGAGAACAAATTGAAGACCCCAAAACACAAAATCAGGGGCCATCTCATCTCACCACATCAAATTGATGCTTCCCTCCGCACGCGAAACTGAAGCTCCACTCTCTCCATCGGGGGATCCCACGAGGGACTTTTTAACACAAGAGGGAAAACCTTGACTTCTACGACACAACACACTGCTTCGCGCTACACCTCAATTTATCGTCGCCGCCTCTCCACAAATCCGTCGGCGGCGTTGCGTTTCTCAGCAGCATCCTCCTCCTGTGCTAGCTGCCGCTGCCGGCTTCGCCCCCGCCGTCGCACCGCCGCCCGCCGCCCCCGCGCTCGCAAACGGGATGGGCTTACCGCAGTCCGGGTAGATCCCGTAGTGGGTCTTCCCGTCTCCGACCTTGTCAAAGTAGCGCGCGAAGCGCGTCCCCATGAGCATGTGCAGCGTGTTCCGGCAGACGGGGAACACTCGCCCGGTGTCCATGGTGTGGTGGTTGTCCAGGGTGAAGGACTGTGGGGAGGAGGCCATCGTCCCCTTGTACACCACCGCCTCGCCGTAGTCCTCGCAGTCCCGCTCCAGCTCCGGCAGCTTGAAGAGGCGGTACGTCGCCGAAAAGAAGCCGATGTGCCCAACCTGTTTCCGGGTGTCGCCAACGGGCCGGAGAGGGCGTTAGGGACGAGGTCCAGAGTGACAACTGGTTCGAAACACAGGCGCTGGCGCGGCGGCGGGGCGCGCAAGAAAGCCCCCGACAAAAACGATCGAGAGACGCCGCAGCACGCAAAACCAACACACCAAACCGCAACACAGCAGTGACACAACAACAGCACCAACGCCATAAACAACGCTCCCTCCCTCCGTCCCTCCCCATCCTTGGCAACACCACCACGCTGCAGCTCACCCTCTTCTCGATCTTCTTGTTGGAGACGGTGATTCTGGAGTCGCTGACGAGTCGCGGGTCGTTGAACCCGTGCCTGCGCGCGATGGTGAGGAAGTCGTTCCAGTAGAGGGCGCCCGACAGGCACTCCCCGAAGAGGACCGGGTCGTCCACCAGGTCCTGCGGCACCCTCCGGTCCGAGTAGACGTCGGAGAAGTACAGCTCTCCGCCGGGCTTGAGCACGCGGTAGGCCTCCCGCAGGACGGCGTCCTTGTCCGGGGAGAGGTTGATGACGCAGTTCGACACGATCACGTCGAAGTAGTTGTCCGGGAGCCCGAGGTCGGCGAGCTTCTCGATGTAGCCCTTCTTGAACTCCACGTTCGGCTTGTCGTACCCGAACGACTTGGTGTGGAAGTCCACGTGGCGGTTGGCCACCTCCAGCTGCTCGTCCGTCATGTCCACGCCGACCACCCTACCCTCGGGCCCGACGAGCTTGGAGATGATGTAGCAATCTCTGCCGGCCCCGCAGCCGAGGTCGAGCACGTTGCAACCCTCCAGCGCCTCCGGCATGACGATGCCGCAGCCGTAGTACTTGGCGATGACCTCGTCGTTGAGCAGCGGCATCACCGCCTTGACGCTGTCCGGCATGTTGGCGTCCGTCGTGCACGCGTTCGTCTTGAGGTCGTCGCTCTTGGTCAGGATCTTCCCGTAGTACTCCTTTACGCTGTCACGCGTTGCCTGTTTTTGGATGCACCAGGACCGATATTGGTTGGTTATTGCGCGAACCGTCAAGTGAGTTACCAAAGTGGGAGACGGCAGCGAGCGAGGTTGTGCCCCTCCCCCAGAGCCGCGACCGCCCACGCGACAGCAACACATGTACTCTTGACGACGAAACACAACAGCAACAAAAGCTCATCAACAAACGGGAACACCGAAAACGGCACATGTGGGGGAGGTGTGCCTTGCGAGGACCCCCACGTGCCGCGGTCCGACTCAACTGCTGTTGCTGCGTACAGGGTGAAAACTGACTTGCGGGCCCGAGATGGGTCACATTCTGGATTTTCTGCCATAGGGATGGATGGGCCAATGGGCAATGCTGTACTCAATCGACTAGCAGAAACCCTCTGTCGAACGGCATTGCGAGCCACAATAGAGTCGCCCACTATCCATCGACTGACATGGCCAGCAACAATCGATGTTCTATCTGTCCATCGATAGGCATTGCTGGCCACAGTACCAGAAATAGCAGAATCCCTACCGATAGACGTTTTTTTACGGAGTTTGGGAAGATCAAATTATGTTTTGGTTTTGGTTTGGGTCGTTTCTAGCATTCCGAGGACCGAAGTCCGACGGATCTTTGAAAATTTGGTATGTTGCTGAGGTGCCCCCAAAGAGATCGCAGAAAAAGCTCCAACTTTGTCATTTCAACAGTTGTATCAGCTAGGAATTCCGTGAGAACGTTCCATTCATTTTCCGCGTGGACGGCTGAGAGCTCAGTATTCCGTTTTTTCGGGCTCTCACAGAGCAGCATTTTCTCTCACCAATCAGCATTTTCCGAATGTTCAGGCCCTCTCACGATCATCGTTTTTACCCTTTTCTCGCTTCGATTTTCGTTCCACACACGACACCTTCTCTCCCACACACCTTCTCGGCTTTTGGTTACCTCTCGGTCGCCCTGCTGCTGTTTCCTCTGTCTGCCTCTCTCTCACTCTCACTCTCACTCTGTGTGTGTGTCTCTCTCTCTCTCTTCTACAGTTGGATTATTTATTCCGAACACACCGGTCTCTTTTCCGATTTCCATAAGATCACACATCGGCTGCCGGTCTGTCCCTTCGATCTCTCTCTGTCTGAGACTCAGGAACTCCTTTGCGGCTCTTCCCATTACACGAGGCATATCGCTCTTCGTTTCGCTCTCTGTCTGGATCTCTCGCACTCCGTTCTTTGCGATTACATCAGGTCTATCTCTCTCTGTGTCTGGATCTCGCTCCCGGGCTTTTTTCGGCTTTTTTTCCGTGTTCCCGTCCGTTGGATTATCCGCCTGCTTTCTCCGATTCGCCGCTTTTTCGACACCGGCAACTTGCGCAAGTCTCTCCCTCGCACACGCGCTCCCCCCCTGCTCTCATTGCCCCCCTCCTCTCACTCCGCCCACAGCGCCCTCCATTTACTACCGCCAAGGGCCACATTTCGCGCCCCCTCCTCTCACTCCCCCGAGAGCACCCTCCGTCTAAGTATACATTTTCTGTAGAACGTAGTACACATTTTCTGTTTCGGCCAGGAGCTCTCCATTCTTCAAGCGTCACATTTCCAGCGGGCCGCCCTCCGGGCAGCATTCCTTCCGGATTTTCGGCCGCTGACAGACGACCTTTTTTTTTCCGTTCCTGATTTCTTTGTGATGATCACGCTCTCTCAGCTGTATAATATACGTAACACGCCGTGCTTTCTAGAGCAGTACACGGTAGTTCTCGCTTTGTCTCTCTCTGGGCTCGGTCTCTCTCGCTCTATTTCTTTCTCTCTCTCTCTCTCTCCTTCTCTCTCTGTCTATGGCTCTCTATTATCTCTCCGATTCTTTCCGGGGAATCTTTGCGATTCGTTCCTGTTGCCACAGAAGGCTTTTCGGTACTCCCCTCTCCTTTCGTGCCCCGCGCAGACAGCCGCCCGACGCTCACACGTAGCTTCTTCGTGTTCCGTTGGGGTGTATACACGACGACACGCTGTTCTTTCCAACAGAACAATACAAAGCAGCGTAGTGCTTTCTCAATACATGCGTGTTCCAATACATGCATGCGTGGCTGCCTGTTTTGTGTGCATTTTTTTTTAGTTTGGGTCCATCCAATATCTCCAAGCAGAGGTTCTTCCGAGCAAACACAGGCAATATGTTCCGATCTTTTGACTGGATGGCCCAGTCGTTCCGGCTTTCCGATCACACGACGTCTGTCGCTCTGTCCTCCCCTGCACACATTGCTTGCGGCTCTCTGTCTGTCTGATCTACGCTGAGAGGGCTCGATTTCGGGTCTTCTCGGGCTCTCGAGCTCCATGTTCTCATTTCCATCTGTTCCAGATCTATCTATCTTTGGAGCTCGCTCTGTTATTTTGTTATTTTCCGCTTACCATTTCTCTCTCATGCCTTCTCATTTTTCGTCTGGCTCGTTCATCACATCTGGCTCGGTCGCACGGAACCTTTTGCCCTTTCACACACGCCACATTATTTCGTGCTTAGTCTCTCTCTCCCCTCTCATATACCACTCTGTCGTCGGTTCTTACAACAACAACAACAACAGCAGCAGCCTGTTTCTCCCTCTCACATGTCCCACGGCAGTATTGTTCATTCCCGTTTTCGTTTCCGCTTTGTTGACCATTCCCGTTTTCCCAGCCACGCTCTCTCTCGCTCGCTCGAGGAAACTTTTGTCGCTTTCCTCTGCTCCCCATCCACCACACATACATACATACATACATACATACACATACACACATACATCATCACCAGTAGTTAGTCTGCTCCCTGACAGATCGTACTTTTGCATGTTCCAAAATGCGGTCCAGGCGAGAGAGAAAGCGGTTGCTGCTTGCTGAGCACTCCAGGAGGGAGCGGATGCAAGTCGTTTCATGTACTGTAGTATATTTACATGTACTCCGTGCGATGCAGTTCGAGTGTATTCCGTGAGGTTTCCTTCTTATTCAGTCTGTGAGCCCCTCATCTCCGAACCTACGGCCGTTCGTTTACTACATGGTTTCTTCGTGCTTTTTGCATCATTTACGCTCGCCGCCTGTGCGCTCGCCGCCAGTGCGCGTGTTTGGCGCGTGTCCAAGTTATTTGCGGACTCGCGCGGGACGCATCCCTTCCCACCCCTTCGGTGTCGCACCAAACTACCGCGCACGCAATAACAATAAAGAACAGCATCGTACTTTCTCAATAAATGCATGCCCGTTCCAACACATGCGTGGCTTCCTGTAAACTCTGTTGTCATGTGGTTGTTTCTGTTCACTTCGGGTCCATCCAATATCTCCATGCAGAGGTTCTTCCAAGCAAACGCACGCACGCATCGTGCTTTCTCAATAAATGCATGCGTGTTCCAACACATGCGTGGCTTCCTGTAAACTCTGTTGTCATGTGGTTATTTCTGTTCACTTTTGGTCCATCCAATATCTCCGAGCAGAGGTTCTTCCAAACAAACGCAGGCACGTATTCACTATCTAGTCTATGTTTATATATTCCGATCTCATTGAGATCGACTGGCTAGATGGCCCGGTCCTTCTGGGTTTCTGATCACACGACGTCTGTCGCTCTGTCCTCCGCTGCACACATTTATTTGCGGCTCTCACACGAGGCACTAGGTCTGACCCTCTGTCGCTTCCCTGTCTGTCTGTCTGGATCTATCTACGCTGAGAGGGCTCCATTTCGGGTCTTCTCGGTCTCTCTCACAGCGCTCCACTATTTCCTCGTTTCCATCTGTTCCTCGCTGTTGTTTTCTTGCGTTCACCGTTTCTCTCTCATGTCTCATCATTGCGTCTGGCTCCTTCATCACACCCGGCTCGGTCGCACGGAACCTTTCTCCCTTTCACACAAGTCACATTTCGTCGTGCCGCCAGTATCTCTCCCCTCTTACACAACAACAGCAGGCCCTCTCACATGTCCCACACCGCAGCAGTATGTAGAGTTTTTCTAACATGCAGATTCATATTTCCCGCTTTCCTTTTTTGAAAAATGTTCATTCCGTTTTCCCGCCATTTCTCGCTCGCTCGAGGAAGGAACGTTTTTAGGCGCTTTCCTCTGTTCCCCATCCACCACAACAAATACATCTCATCGTTTAACTGCGCCTCTCACAGGGCTTTAGGCCAGTCTCTCTCTCTTTCGGGCAGCCAGTAGTCTGCTCTCTGACACACCGGACTCTCACATGTTTCAAAATACACGCGTTCGTCTCTCTGGGATCTCGCATGTACGCCCCGAACATGCATGTCTACAAGAATTTCATCTCTCTCCGGGATCTTTTTAGGGCTGGCCTCGTTTATCTCCGTTTCTCACATGCATGCAAACAACCCGAAGCATATTCATGGGAACGTACTTCACGGGAATCTCACAGCCACGGCATGCCACAAACGAAGCCCCATTCAACAAACGCCGACTAACACCGTGCATCAAACACCAAGTAACATTCGTCTTGTGGTACGCTTCTCTCAGCGTGGCGGCGTGAGCCGCCAAAAAGCGTTGTATGAATACCAGTTAGCCCGTTGGCCCAGTGAGATACACCGTGAGCTTAAAGCGGACTACAAACGGCACACACAAACAGCCTTTGTGTGTGAGCCAAAGGGAGCCCAAACACGTGGCAGACATACACACGAAGGAGTGGCAGGCGGAGGACAAAAAGAGGTCCGTTTGCACACACATGCACGTTGCTCATTGTCACACAGCAAACGCGCCCTCTCTCTCTGTTTTGTTCAAAAGTTTCAAACGACAAACGACACACACCGCTCGGAAAGGAAAAATGCTCACGCGTTGAGCAGCGCAACACTACACCTCACGGGGTCAGCTACCACCGGCAAACAATTATCGAAGCAAATAGGTCAGAGGAGGTGCGTATCCGACGGATTCCGTGGCGATCGGCGATTACAACCGCGTGGTCTGAGCACGTGGCGTGTGCCCTGCAAAATGCCACAGGAACCAGCAAGGCGCATACAGCAGTGTGGTTGGGTGCTGCCTGCCTCTTTCGTAATCATCGTGGCGCGAAGATGAGCCGACTGCAGCTACCGTGTGCTAGATCTTCAGTTCGATGGTCCACGGTAGAAGGAAATGCGTTCGATAGCAGTGTACTTTGGTAGGGCTGCACGGGCGACACGCCAGTCCCTCAGGGTTTTGTATGCATGTCTAACCGTGAGCAGAAGTGCAACGGGCAACCTCCACGTGCATGACGTCACATTGTATGGCTTGTAGAAAAAGGTCGAGAAAAAGAGCGGAGCGGCAGTCCGGTTTTCGCAAGCAGTGTTCAAACCAAATTCAGGTCTCGGTTGGATTGTCCCGACGTCAAAGACCAAAACCAAACACCCATCAGCAAACATCCTAGTCGCAATAGATTGCGTACCCTGCCCATCGACACCAATTGCTGTGGCTACAATAGACTTTGCAGGTGCAAATCGATAGGAAGTCGCAGACTGCACACTCTGCGTGGTGATCGGCTCGGTCTTTGGCACTCGGTAGTGCGAGAAATCCACCGATGGAAAGCGTTATTGCCGACAGCATTAGACTACGAAATTGTTAAAATAGCAGCATTCGTGGTCTATTGTCCAGGGTGTCTGGGACGGGGGCTCTTCTCTTTTGAAATCAGGATAGCTGGGGGTCTTTGCTACAGCAGCATCAGCAGCAGAGAGCGGAGTTGAGGAGTTTGGTGCTACTAACACAGCAGTCGCCACATGCGACTCAGAACGATAGGTATATGATATATTTCGCCAAACAACATTAGGGTGGATGATGAAGAAGGCAAACGAAGACGCTGCCTCCAGCAAGCCAAGACATGAGAAAAACAGAAAAACAAACGGCGGTCCATGCGAGAGAACGGTCAGGGCTGGCTCGGTGACCTTGACCCCCTAGCCGGGAGCGGATGCACGAGTCTTTCTTGCCCATTCGCTCGAATGTTCTGGATACGCATGTGTAAATATGCGGAAGTGCGATGTTGCCTGGAAGCAGCTTGTCTCGCACAGCATCGCAGATAGACTACTGCAAGGGATTGAGTCGACCCCGCGGCCTAGTACTTGTATGTACAAGAGACGGGAAGACCGTCAGTTTACCCGTAGGGAAACCGTGAATCGAGAAGCGCGACGCGGAGTGTCTTTAATTTTTTAGGTAAACACAACAGTATCAATCAGACAAAAGTGTTTGGAGACTAGATGTGATGACCAACCTGCTGTATTCCTGATGGTTCCCCCAGCAGCATACTGCTGTTGTACAGCGGGTGCATCATCTATCTTGTGGGTAACAGGCTCAAACTACAGTCTGTAGTTTGGTGGCCATCTCGTGTTGTGTCTGTTTGAAATAAGCCCAACCCAATAGCTCGATCAGACCACCATCTCAACTAATTTATCCTGCGGTGTCTTGCGACATGAACAAGTTATGCATACATGTAGGAATTTGATCTTCTGCGGGTTGAGCACGGTACGGCCCTGTTCATCTCAACCGGGGCAACAATTTATAGTAGCCAGCACCACCAGCGGCACCCCAAACAAGCTGACAATGTCCACAGCAGTGCAAGTATTGTAGACCCCAACGAACGTGCCACCGTAGGCTTCCTTGCTTCGTCACAGGACAGCAAATAGTGCACTCTCGGACACCATTAGGCTGGACAACCTTTTGAGCTTCCAGAGAGAGGATTTTTTTTTTTTTTCTCGATATGACACAACGAAACCTCCTGTTTTTGGGTCATGCGCAATTATTCTGGACATGAGTCTGGTTTTACAATATGTCACACGTGAAGGCGGCATCACCGAATGCATGCCTTTTGGGCAGCAGGCGGCAACAGAGATACTTCCGTCCTCTTGAGCTGACGACCCAACACGTGATAGAAGTACTTATATAACTTTTGGCCTGGTCCCTCTTTCTCCTCGCCCTTTTTTTTTTGCTCTTTTTTTTTCTTTTTTTTCTCTCTTTTTCTGTGCCAGATGGCCTTGTCTCTGCTCGCGTTGTGAAGTACCAAGATTGAACCAAGGGGGTGTACCTCTTTCTCTCCGGCCCATGATAGATAGTGACTGCTAGTCTCAGTTGATACCTCGCATAGCGCGAAGAGGGAGTGGAGGATCCCAGAATATCTGTCATTGACTTCTATTGACTTGCGGACCCCTCGGGGCCAGTTTATTTGAGTGTACCTTTTTAGGGTAAGTTAACCTGAGACCACGGGAATCGAGTGTTGGATCAGTACGGACATACGAAGGTACTGGGTAGAGAGAGATCGGAACGGTTTTTAATGTGAAGACGACAATAACAACAACAACAATAAACTGCTGTCTCCGTCATGCAATTTTGTTCCTCGACAACGGACTACCTATTTCTCGCGAAAAAAAAAACAAATGTGCTGCTGTGGTAGTCCAGCGATCTAGAGGAGGATAATGCCAGTGCGACAAACAGCTCGCTCGAAATTACGTCGTCGGGCGGCTTTGCCGCGTGTGCCCTCTCGTCCTCTCGTGCGATGGACCACCACAGCAGAAGAAACCAAGGGTTTATGAAGTTCACCGGTTTTAATGTACTTTTATGTACGCGACGTGCGTGGCACAAACCAAGCAAGCAAGCTGGCGCTGCCGCCGCCAAGCAAATCAAAACTTCCACCAAACCTCCCCCGGACGACTTCTATAGACACCATGTACGTTGTGTACCATGGAAGGAGCTGTGGCGTCCACTGCAGCAGAGGTTGGGAAAAAACTCCGCTCCATGCATGTACAAAATATGCGTTGTACTCACATTATATTTTGTAAAAGTAGTGCCATGGTTTTTCGGTCATGGACGAGTTTAGCGCAAAATACAACAGCAAACTCACATCAACGGCGGTAGACATAGCTTGAGGTGTCCTGACAGTAGCGAAAGAAACCGTTTGGCCCACGCTCCAAAGGGCCGAGATGCAGAATAGAGCAGTCGTGGCCGGCCCCCCTCCTGCTTTCCCTCCTATCCCCGGCCTGGGCGAGTTGCGGAAACCTGAAGCAGTGCTGCCTCGCGCTACGGTGCCGAGCAGGCGGAACATGTGGTGTCGCCTGGATGCCGCCGTCGACACAGGCAGACAAGAGGGGAACCAGAAAGAGGGCGGTAGAGGGTCAACACCTGGCAATTGCACACAGCAGCAGAGCTTGCTTGCGGCTGTCCAGTCAGAGACGGAGTTGGTGGTGCATCGAGCAACAGCGCTTGATGTGTTGGCAACGAACAGCAGTTCTCGACGCCAGCAAAACAGCAGCAGCCTAGCGGCGGCTTGATCGCAAAAATATTGGCCCGTACGCTGAACAGCAGTCTATTTAGACTTTCGGCTACTGCGATGGCATGACGTCTCCACCAGTCTCCACTCCCGTCGGGGGCAAAACACGTGGACCCGACAGCAAGTCGGATCCACGAGGCATCGGACCTGGGTAGAGTTCGATGAGATGGCGAGGAGAGTGACGCCGCCCCACTGCTACGTCGTCCTTCTCTCGCAAAGCGGAAATAAACAGAGCTGGGATATGAGGAGATGAGCAGGTGTGGGAGGCAACGTCCACGGCAGAGATAAGACGAAAAACGCGGCGCGAAATATCATAGTGTACGACCGAATGTTCCAGAAAACGCGGCGCGAAAAAACTTAAGGCCCGCCTGGTGGCGGAAGGCTTTCTTGTCGGGGAAAGGGGATGGTGCGCACTGGCCCTCGGCCGCTTCTCGCCGCTTCGGGTGGGCTTGTGTGGGTGTGTGAGTGTGCCTGTTTTCTCTTTGTCCCCTTCATCATCAGTGGTGGCTTATCTCCCGCTGCTGAATTGTTGCATTTGCTGTCGACTGCTGTACCATAAGTCTCTTGCCTTTGCTCTCGCCGTCACACGCACGAGCTTTTCCTGTGGGGTTGCATCACCCAATTTCCACCGCTGCTGCTGCTGCTTCTACCACCTACTACCATCACCTCTCTCAACTTGCCTCTCTCTCTTGCTTGGTAGCCTCAACCGAAACCTAGCTGCTACTAGGGGGAATGCACGGCTTGCGCACGAGCAGTGCAAAAAAAATGTAAGTATCGTCGTCTAAAGCATTCTACAGCAGTAGCGGCGAACACTCGTGCGAGCTCAGTACTCTTTGTGTATAAGCCTCCCTCACGTTGTCATCACAACCATGGTTGCACGGAAGAAGCCCCGCCGCCGTTGGATGCGTGCTCACCAAAAGCTTTATGTCCTCTCTGATCACGCGCGCCCGTCCGAGTTTTGTGTGTGGTAGAGGCAGGGGGTGGGGGTCACTCCAGGTTTGAACGGCTGTGAGTGGCCCGGCTCGAGCTCTTCGCTGCTCTTTTCGAGGTTTGTTGTACTTTCCGATGATATGCGAGACAGCGATGGTCTACTGCTCGTAGTTTGCGGTGGGGGTAACAAAAAAAAAAAAAAACTCGTGTTGCTGCCCTTGCTGTACTACAACATCAAGACGACATACAGCAGCGTCGACCGACACATGATCGGCACCCCCGACACAGGGGACGCAGGTTGCTGTTCTAGCCTCTAGCAGGCAATCATGGCGATTAAGGCCTGTATAGTAGCAGGCTTGGCGGTGGTGCAATGGACTCCAGCACAGGCATTCGGAGCAGTTTCTCACGTCAGCTCTGCGCTACGACCGTCGTCATGTCGGGCAATGGCCGACCGCACGAGTCACAACAACAAGCGGAGCGTCTCTAGACGACCGAGGGCTGTCACCATGGTGGGTACGATGTTCGATTATGCCTTTAACCGTCCGGTCTTGGGGGCGTTTAGTTCGAAAGACATTGGGGCGTGTGATGAAGGACAGCAGCCACTTCCTGTTATAGCATCAACTGCCCAGGGAGGGTTAGCAGTTGTACTTCTACAATGGGTAGTCTTTCCGTGGTACATGCCGTACTGCTATACCTGCTGGATGGAGCTAAACTTGGGGATCGGTCTCTGTGGGTGATAAACGTTCTGGCTCTGCTGCATATACTGGAGTGTAAGGTCCCAAAACGCCGTCGGTGGTGCTAGCCATAGCAATGATATTCACCGTTACATGCGTATATTCTCAGCATGTCGGGTCGTCCGGAATCATCAACGTCAAATGGCACCATCTTCCTACGATATCTTGTAGTATGCATATAGCAGGAGACATGATTTTACAGCACGAGCTATGACCAATGCTACAGCGATGGGGGGGCCAAAATATATCGCCGGTATGCATACGTGCCCAGCAATCCACCCACCCAGGCCACCGCGCTAGTCGCTATTGACGCCCCCCCACTGCTGTGCCTGTGTACCACAGGCAGTCCACAAGCAAAGTCAAGAGTTCACCCGCTCTACGTACTGCTTGTAGCACACCGGTCACACCCACACCGGTGTACCAGTCGTCTTTCATCGTGGCCATGTCTTGTATAATGGAGTAATTGCTTCGTGTTGCCACTTTACCCCGTAGTACGCCATTGACACGGCCACGTTTTTAGTGATCCGTACGTCACAACTTGATACTTCTGGAGCAGACCCAGAGCGTCCCTGAACACCCCGAGAACAGCGGGTAATTTGCTGCTTGCGTGGGTCCTCCGGTCCGTTGACGTTGTGACCAAGTTGCACATCCTACAAAGCGGAATGACACACCTAGGCTACGGCGGCATGGGTACTGCTGTGTACAACGACAAAGAGTGGCCGAGGCTACAAAAGTATTTTGAGGCGAACATTGACCCCCTGAACACCAGCGCTGCAAAAATTGAGCATACTTTCTGTCTCTATGCGACATGGAGACATCCCATGGGGTTGAGAAGTCCACCGCTCCATACGGCAGTTCCCAGAACTAGCAAGCGGAGAGGTGGCACGAAAAACACCAGAGAAAGAAGCCAGCAGCATTCTTTGTTATCGAGCCTGTGTTCATGCCGTCAACCCGAATACGTCGTACTCGATTTCACGCATGCAGCATTGGCACTGCAGTATCACTCCTCCTATGTTGCTGCTGCTGCTGCTGCTGTGTTGTTCGTGATTGAGGCCACTGTACCTGCTGTACGCCCAGAGAACTGAGTAAACTAAAGTTTACCCGCCTATTTGGCCATCAGGACTTCATTTTTAGCGAAAAGAGACATTGCTCAACATTTTCACGCGTTGCACCCGCAATAGGTGGTTATGTTATGTTACTTACCTTTGGAGACTTTCCTGTAGGGTTGCCTACGCGTTTGCCCCTCTTGTTAGCGGTTTGGAGGGCCGGCCGTGGCGGGCGATTGTTTTCCCCACAGACTCACCTGGTATACATGCCCCTACACCGGGCCCGTTGAGACAAGCAATCTGATTGGCCGACGCAAGTGCGCAGAGTTTGACAACAAATAGAGCAGGGGAGACGAGAATCGACCGCTGCAAGCATGCCTTGGTGCAGTTTGTCAGGAATGAACGTTTGGCCCTCGAAAGGCTAGCCCCGGGCCTCGCCGCACCTAACAAGCTACGCGACTGTTGACGCCGAGAGCCGCGGTTCTTGGATCTCGAAGTCCCAGACCTGGCTGAAGAAAGCCCACGGAACGAACGATTTTGTCAGCTGGCCTACATGTGACGCTTCATCTTGCGTGTCGCTGTCATGTTTCCCACGACGGCCCTTTCGAAGCTTTTGCCTGGTCTGCTCTTGGCACTGTACCCCGGTGAACAAAAAATGGTTTATGACGCGAGTGCCTTGCAGCTACGCTCGCTCAATGCTCGTGTTTTTTCAAACGGTTTGCTGCCTTGTGTGTCCCCCACCATGCCGATGGACAATTTTACGTCCGCCGTTAACTTGAGCCTGTCTCTGCCCCCCTCTTTCATTTTCCAGGCCAGCGACGAGGTCGAGCAACGCTCCCCGGTGGCCGGGAGCCTTATCCGAGCACTAACGGGGCCCTATGTTTCGCTCGGAGTTGGCGTTGGCATTCTGTTGGCCGTTCTGGCCAATCGAATCGCCACTCCGGAGCTGGTCGACTCACAAGCTCGCACGGATATCCTCGGGGTGATCGCGAGCGGGGGATTGGTCACGAACGGCGTTTACCTCTTGGTGGGTGTGAAAACCTTTCGTGCCCGGCGAGTTGTAGCTAGGAGGTGTCCAAGCTCTCTTCGTCTTTTTTTATGAGGTTCCTTTTTATTCGAGCTTCACACGCTAGGGTGAAGTACAGATGTCTTCGCAGTGTAGGCAAGAACTCAGCGCCACACTTTCACCGTATTGGTTGAAGACACGAGCATGCTGCGCGTGTCTTACATGCTCGTGTCTTACATATCGGCTTATGCGAGGACGCACTCGGTGCCTTGGTTGTGTCTTGGTTTTTTTGGCACCCCTGGCGTGTAGTGCCTACGTGCGATAATTAGAACAAGGGCTAACGACCATCCCGATGGGGAACGTGACCCTGGCTCTTGCGAGCTACTTTATTATACAGAAGGCCGACCTCGATTCCCTCAACATGAATGCCCGAGTATCATAGCACTCTGGCTGCAGGCACCATCCATGATGATTGTTTCGTATTCCATATCGTTCGTCCGACAGGATTTGAAGGTGAAGGAGGCGGAAGAAGTGACGCTGGTGGGCACGTTCGTGCAGGAGTACGCCGACGATCTCGCTCCCGGCGCTAGGCGAGATTTGCAGTGGCTTGGCGAGTCTTTGTTGTTGGTGAGTAAATTGAGCCGTTGCTGGCTGGCGAGCGGTGACTGATCCTTCCCGCGGAACGCGTCGCCGGTGTGCTTCGCGTAAGCGGCGTTCCCTATGAACGTTTGATAGTTCTCGTGTATGGCATTGTGTAGCGTCACACCACCATTGGTGCATCAGATTGATTTGGGCTCCTCCCATGCTACCCAGCCCCGTGGTATAGGTAAAGGTACCCCCTTCCCCCTTTGCCCAGCCGCATGAGTTACTACTGCAATACTTTGCGCCTCCGGAACTCAGAATTTCGAACTATGCGAGCGCCTATTCACTGTTTCATTGATGCATTTTCCCCTCCTTCCTCCCCTGCCCTCCAAACGCGATCTCGGCAAAAGGTGTCGCCTGCAACATCAATGCTGGTTTACCAGGATGGGAAGACGCTTGCGCGGGTTGGGGTGATGGGAGAGTCTGCCGACATCCGGGACGCTCCTATTCTTAGAAAATGCATTAGTGAAGGACGCGATGGGCGGGAACAGTACTTGGCCGCTCTTCAGGTTTGTTTTACCGCTTGACGTCTTGTTTTTGTTTTGAATGTGCCCACCAGGCTGCCCACGTTCGTACGGTCTCTTGGTTACATGGTGATGCTATTCGCCCTATACTGGTTTCTGCAGCTGGTACCTCCAGGCTCAACATACATAGTGATCCCATCACATCGGAAGATGTTCCGGCATATATACCGAACCACTAATCGCGTACCACATTTTTTTGCTGCAGCCTGGGCATTGGTCTCTTGTAGCTACTTTTGCCGTGAGGATAACGTAAAACAGGCCTGTGATGTAGCTATATCGTGCACCTTGAGTGGGACGCCGCTTGTCTGCCTCTGGACTTCCCGGGCACACCTGTGCAGACTGACTGCAAGCACAGCAGTGACATGCAGGGCAGCTTGTCCCTCTGGGCGTGTCTATGCTTCTTTACGTTTCAACCCCATTCACGCTATATCCTGCAAGCGCTCCTGATTGCAGAGGAATGGCGCGGGGGAGGCGGGGGGTGAGGTAACCAAGCAGCTTAAGAGCAAACATCAACCAACGTCGTCACCTCTCTCCTTCGTATCTCGTCTCGTCTTGTCACTATTACGCTTAACTCTCTTCGAACACCAACAACGCCGTTCACGCAGACTCTCCCGGGAAAGGTCGAGTTCGACTATCTCCCGGAGAATTGCCAGGCAGTGCTAATGCTGCCCGTTCTGGAGGGGTCGGCAGTCGTCGTGGTAGGAACGAACCGGGCGCGCGCGTTCACGCCCAAGGACATCGTGTGGATGAAGGGGCTTTGCAACCAAGCGGCATTGTCACTGCGGGAGGCGGTGGTGGCTTGAGTTTTGTAGATGTGCTCCAAGCGTAGAATTGTTGTGGACGAGTATGATTTGTTTCGGCGTGCAATCCCTCTGCTCTTGTGTACATACACGGCCGCTGTTGGAGTTAGAGTTGGATCGGCGTACTCTAGGATTTGAACAGCGGATTCAAGAGTTTTGTGATGTTTGTTTCGTGGCTACGGTACTGCTGTTTTGAAAGAGGCGTCAAGACTCATTGAGCCGACAGAAGCACGTGCTAGAAAGACTGATTTGTTGAAGCGTGGTCGCCTCTACTGAGAAAGCTGCTTTACTGGGCACGTTCCGGCTGGATTCGATGTGCCTGGTTCGCCTGGTGACGGTAACATGGTGACCCCACAAAATGATACTGCTCTCGTACCTTGTATGCATAGTAACACCCAATCCAATGGAAAACTCGAGTGGCTCATCGCCTTGCTGGCTTCGTCCCACACTACTTGGTGTCATGTGGGACGTCCAACACAGGGAACTTTCTCCTTCCAGTGGGACCAGTCCAGAAGACGGAGCTTGTTGTGGGCTTCGCAGAAGTCTATTCATGTGGTAGTTGGCAACCTAAATAAACCTTGAAAGAAACCCTCTCTCTCTGGTGTTGTCCGTGTGGGGTCGGAACGTGAAGTTCGAATGTGGACGAAGGAAATTTTGCTGCCTACCGTACGCCAGGAAGCAAGGTTTGACGCCTCAGGAAGGGGCCGCGACGAACAACATCGATCGGCTCAAGGGTGGCACGCGGCGACAACAGTTGTTCCAAGAAGACCAAGGAAGTTGGTCTCGTCCCAGAGATCGTTCTCAGGTTTCTACTAAAAACAAGTGGATTCTTCACCGAAGACGTTCTTCTTATGATTTCTCGATTTGATTCGCTAGCGGCGTGCAATTCAAGCAAATTTGGTGCCCCGGGCCTGGCACGCACACAGACCTCGCCAGAAAGATCGAAAGATCTCCAACGGACGCAGTACCTACACGCTCAATCCGTTTCTTTTTTTCTGGGTCACCGCCAGGACCGATGACCTGATGCAGTAGTTGTCTTTACAAAACACAAATATCTTGGCCGCCATTTCAGTTCAATAAGGTCCTCATGGTTGTACGCTCACAGCAGCGGTTGTCCGCCGCAGCTGCGCAGCTGCCAGATGAAACCGGGTGTTGTTTATTTCAGCTTTGTTTTGGTTCCAGCTCGAGCTCACTGCGTTCGGTGCATACATCGCTAGGGGGATTGGCGAACGGAACTAGGGAATGCCACCAACTAAGCACATGATACACTGCAGGTGAAACGATGGCATATATAGTATACACACAACGCTGTGCACCTACGGGCGTTGTGTAATACTGTAGGATACTACTGTCTCGCACCTCGCACACGGACGGATCCACGCCGACCTAGGGGAACCGCAAACAGCATTCTGAAGGGCGGGGGGGCTTTCTACCACGGCGCAACCCCCTCGACCGCCGGAACCAGCCCAGAGGGACTGGTCAGCAATCACCTACTCTCTTCTTCTTCCCTAGATCGCTTGACTTATCATGGCCGCTCTCGCCAGCAACGGTAACGGGTCCACGGAGAAGGTCGAGGCGGCAATGGAGAACATGTCGGTCAACGAGCCTGCAAAGGGTGAGCTCGAGACCGTGATCGGTATCGACCTCGGGACGACCTTCAGCTGCGTGGCTGTGTGGGACGAGGCTGCGGGAAGGCCAATTGTGCTGACCAACTCCACTGGCGCCAAGACGATGCCCAGCTACGTGTCCTTCACCGACCAGGCGCGTGTGGTTGGGCAGCCTGCCAAGAGCCAGGCAGCCTCCAACCCCGCCAACACCGTGTACGATGTCAAGCGGATCATCGGGCGGTCGTGGAATGACCAGGTACGCGTGCGGGCGGAGTTTGAATATTCTCTGCCGGGAGCAGTAGCTGGTACTGAGCAGCAGCACCGCACAACCTCAGCCCAAGAGGCATTTGGACGTGTGGATTGTCGGGCATCCCTGGCGTTGGACTGTATGAGAAGCAAGGACGGGCAACATAGATGGTGTCGTGGCGAGCAAGCTTTTGGAAAACAACAGTAGTCCAGAAAATATTTTTTCAAAACGAAACACACACGTGGTGGTACCTGTGCTTTGTCTGGCTGCCCCACCACCACACACGTTTGTCGATGGAAGCAGCATGCTGTGCAAGTATTGCTGCTGCCCTCTGCAACGTGGTGCTCTTAGCAGTTGCAGTCACATCCTACTGCGCTCGCCTTCCCTCATCCCGGCAGCTTGTCGGTGGCAGTCGGTGCCAATCGATTCTTGCTGGATCTGCTGGACGTACGTACGCTGCAGCCGCAGCAGCCTTGTTTTCTTTCCCCTGTTTTCTTGCGGAACACCTCCAATCGTAACTTTTCTTGACCTTGTACACCCTAACAGGTAGTGCGGGACGACGCCAAGTCCTTCCCCTTCCGAGTCGTGGACGGCGGGAACGGCCGCCCCAAGGTGGAGGTGTCATGGCTCGGGGCCAAGAAGCAGATGGCGCCCGAGGAGGTGTCGGCCATGGTGCTCGTGGAGCTCAAGCGCGTCGCCGAGAAGGCCCTCGGCAAGGCGTGCACCGCTGCCGTCATCACCGTCCCGGCCCACTTTAACGACCAGCAGCGCCAGGCGACCAAGGACGCCGGCCGCATCGCGGTGCGTGGAGAGAGAGAGAGATAGAGGGAGAGAGGCATCGTGTGTCTTTGTTGTTTCTTGTCGCACGCTGCACGCGCGTTCAATTGGTTGTGTCATATATACTGTATTTTTTTTTTTTCGTCCCAACACCCTCTCAACTACTTTACTGCTGACAGCAGTGTTAGGAAACATGTATTCGAGCACAGAAGACTACCACATTCGAGATATAAACACAGTCGAACGAGATGTGTTGGGAGTGCATATGTATTATCTCGAGCGAGTGCAGTAGACCACTGGGGGTGGTATTGTCGCTGTGTGCCTTTAGTATTTTTTGGAGAAGATACCGCTGTACACGCGGGAATATGCTTGTGTCTCACCCAGCGCTGTACAGAATGTACCTGCTATTTAGTGCTGGACCTGATGTGACATCGTCGGCCACAATGTACTGCCTGTAGATTCCATGAACAAGGCTCACTGGTGGCGTACAGGCCCCACAATTCAATACATGGCACTTTCTCTGACCTGCACAAGAGCTGTATCATTATCGCGAAAGCATTACAGTGAGGCGATCTTAACCTTAGCAACAACACCCGCTGACATGATCGATAAAGGCTTCAACCATTAGGCTGCTTAGAGTGAACATGAAAGAGTTGCGTAGTCAGCTGACTGGAGTTCTAAGCCTTTGTCGATCAAAATATACTGATGTCTTGAGCCTGTTGGCCTCCCAGCTATACCGAACCCGTCGCCACGCTGCTGTTATTTGTGTGAAGGGTGCCTCAAAGTGTTCTAGCTGGGAATCTAACCCGTGTCAACGTTTGACAACGCTCCGCCCGTGGAAAAAACGCCCCTGACGATGTTTCAAGCAGATATCCTCTAGTATGTGTAGAGCAGCATATGCATTTTCCATTTTCCATTTTTTTTTCTCGCGCGAGGTGTTCTGACCCCTCTCGCCACCCCTCTACAATAACACTGCTCTCCCCCGAGAAACCGCCGACACGTTGTTTATCCCGTTCCGTGACTCTGATGCGGCGACTTGTCGTGTCTCCCGCAGGGCCTAGACGTACGCCGTATCATCAACGAGCCCACCGCCGCCGCCTTGGCGTACGGCCTCCACGGCAAGAAGGACACGATGGACTCCGGGATCGCGGGCTCCAACGTGGTCATCTTCGACCTGGGGGGCGGGACCTTCGATGTCAGCGTGCTCTCCATGGAGGGAGGCGTGTTTGAGGTGCGTGGTGCTGTGGAAGAAAAAGTCAAAACGGGTGTTGTTTAGAGTCCCCGTCAGCAGAAAGATGACCGGTTGTTTGACGGCTAACATTAGCGCCCGCACTTGAAGACAATTGACAAGTGTAAACTCAATTGTATACCAACGCACACAAAGACCTTGGAGCAGGATTTATAAGCCCGGTTAACAACACCTACACGTACGACCTATTAAGGCGGCCACTTGTAGCCTGACCCTGGGAACGAAGAACCCAAGCGTCACCCAAAACTAGGAGTTTTTTTTGTTGTTTTTTAAAGTGCGTGCGCAAGCTGCAGCCCACCGCTGTCCCTTCTTTTGCCCTTGATAAGCACACTTGAATTATTCACTGCTGCTGCTGCTGCTGCTGTGTCGAGCAGGTCAAGGCCACGGGCGGCGACACCCACCTTGGTGGCGAGGACTTCGACAACAACATGGTGGACTGGGCCGTGGCGGAGTTCGAGAAGATCCACGGCGCCGGCAGGGCCAACAAGCTCAAGAGCAACGCCCGCGCCATCCGGCGCCTGCGGACAGCGTGCGAGAACGCCAAGCGCTCGGTTTCCTCCGCGCCCACCACCACCCTCGAGGTGAGAGTCCGCGCTCTTGTTTTGGTGCTGTTGCCCAGTGTACCGGGCTACGTTGTAGTCTTACATAAGCGAGTGGCGTTTTCGTGCCCCTACGCGGTGGCACTTCATCAGAGATGTGCTCGGGTTTCAAGAGCCGGTAGTGGCGATCATGTACACTCGGGGACAGCACCAAGAGTTTAGCACTTGGCCTTTTGCATGCACGTGTTTGTGACTGATTTTGATTTGTCGTCAGCTGCAAATATGCTCGCTCCAACCTACCATGTATATTTTTTATCATTTTTGCTCATCTTGTGTTTTACCACACACCCTTTGTCCTTGGCCGCCTGGACAAGGTGGAGAGTCTTCTTGACGACGCGGACCTGTCGATCGAGCTTTCGCGGGAAAAGTTCGAGTCTCTCAACGACGAGCTGTTCACCAGGTGAAGCCAGAGCAAAACAACAAAGAGAAAAAACAAACCCTGGGGTGTCGGAGCTTCAACAGCCTGCTGACTACCAAAGCGTCTTGAAGCGATCACGAGGCGCATTTTCGATTCTTGCATAAGGATGTTGTACTTGATCGCGCAAGACGGATGTTCTTGCGCGAGGTAGCGCGGCAGGTTCGAGCGTCTTCAAAGACACTAAAGACACGCTACGCGCCCCGTGTTGTCGCACCATCTTCTTGGGGGTCGTCCCTCCATCTGACGCCTTGCGACTCGAAATCTTGGTCCTCCTCGCCGCGTGCTCATGGGTGCGTTTGGTGCTCTTGGCTGGCCTACTTGCTGCCCACAGGTGCATCAACACGGTCACGACCGTGCTGAAGGACGCGTCGCTGACGATCGGCGACGTGACGGACGTCGTTCTGGTTGGCGGGAGCACCCGAGTGCCCGCCCTCCAGGACAGGCTCAAGGCGCTCTTCGGCGGCAGGATCGAGCTGTGCCGAAGCATCAACCCTGATGAGGTGCGGTGCGGGGCGGGGCGATCGATGCATTTGCGTTGCGTCTCGGCGGTGTTGTGTTGTGCAGTGCTGTATGTGTGCGTGCGTTCTGTTTGATGAACGGTTTTTGGTGGCGTGTTTGCTAGCGGTGGCGAAGGAACCGGCTGTGGCGGCCGGTTTATAGCCAGATCTCGACCAACATGTAGCAGCGCTTGCTTCGAGTTGGTTGGGTTGGTGGATGTTCGTTGTCGAACCCTTGCTCCGTACAATAGATCGCCAGGCACGGGTGCCGCTACAGTTTGGGATTTTTCCCGAAAGAGGTTAAGGTCGATTCCGAGGGAGTTGTTTGCAGACCATGGAACTGACGGTGGTTCCTTGTTACCTTTGGGCTTGTTAAGTTGGTCAGCAAATTTTTCACGTTAGCGTTTCAGTCTGACCGCCCCCCACCCCCCCTCTTGGCATTTTCGTGTTTTTCACCCGGCCGGCGAGAACAGGCTGTAGCGGTGGGCGCGGCAGTGCAGGGCCACATCCTCGCTGCCGGTGACGCGCGGACGGGGGGCGCCGACCTCGCGGGCACGACCGACCTCCTCCTGCTGGACGTGACGCCCCTTTCCCTGGGCATCGAGCTCGAGGGCCGCGAGATGTCGGTGCTGATCAAGCGCAACACCACCATCCCTTGCCGCAAGTCGCGGTCGTACACCACGGTGGAGGACTGGCAGACGTCCATCGACGTCGTTGTGTACGAGGTGCGGTCGTCGGTGCTTGCTTGTGCGGGACGTCATCACGTTTTGCTTTTGTTTTGTTCCGCGATGATAGCGGTGTTTGGTTCAAAGGTTTTCGGCGGGCCGGGTGAAAAACTCCGGGGTCAACGGGGGGGTCGTTGTCTGGGGGTGATTTAATTCTACTTCCGCAAGAAAAGGTCTTTCTTAAACGTTCGGCGCCCTGTAACAACAAAGTAATTCCTCGTCTCTGGTTGCGTGGTTTCTCAATGCAGGGCGAGCGCCGTTCTGTGGACACGTGCAACAAGCTCGGGGAGTTCACCATTACCGGTGTGGAACGGGCGCGCAAGGGGGAACCCAAGGTGGGTGGAAGTGTACATTGTATCGCCGCTGTGTTTGCTCCTTGTTTTCGGTACGGACTCCCTTGTTCTCGATCGTGCCCAGCTGAACCGACCCACCCTCGAGGTGTCAGGCAGCCACCGATATGGGCACTTCTAGTCGTTCGGCTTTTGCTAATGGCTCGGGCGGTGTGATTTTTCTCCGTTCCGTCTCCACGCGGTTCCATACCATGGACCTTCTGGCGAATGTCTCGCCACCGACGAAGAGTCGAACAAAATTGAACGAGGCACGCCGCCTGCAGACCGGAGTGTCTGACATGTACGGCGCCCTCCCCCCGGTCGTAGGCCTGCCGATATGTTTACCTACGGCATCATCGCCCTCGGAGGCGCAGCTCTCTTCAGGAGGAAACAAAGCTGATGAGAGTGGGAGTATTTGTACCGCACCGATGTTTCCACGCCCCCTTCACGTGGAAATGACCAACGGCCTCAACTAGAGCCCTCTGTTGATAACGGTCCGGGGGTGGGGATACTCGGAATGGTAGTTGCCCGGACGTCCGGCCACCAGCTTATTGATGGGACACTCGTGTTCTCCGCCAGGCTGCCATCCACATGAAGGGTAGGCAAAACACCCTCACGCGAGTCTTACCCGGAAGCGTCGTCTGGCGTGTAGGCTTGTTTTCCTTTGTGCTCATTGTTCCCCTCCGCCCCCCCTCTTGGCTCAACCGTTTGCGCGCTTCCACACGCCTTCGATGGCGACCGACGACAACGACAACGACAACAACAAAACGCCTGACCAGGTGGAGGTAACCTTCGCCTTGGACGCCAACGGCATCCTGGCCGTAACGGCGCAGGACACGGTAACGGGGGCGAAGGCGGGCGCGGAGATCAAGGCCAAGGACGGGCGACTGTCTGCCGACGAGATCGACAAGATGGTTCAGGACGCGGAGAAGCACAGGGCGCAGGACGACGAGCTTGCCGACAAGGTGTGTGCCCTCGCCCCCGTACACCCTTTTGTATCCGTTTTTTGTGTCTCTTACGTATTTCTTCCACGTGTGGTGAGGATAACACGGGATAGGAATTTTCCTCGCGCCGTGTTCGTGGTATTTGAACACCACTTTGGAGTTGACAAACGGCCACGTGTTGGCACAAGACCTAGTGTTCCTCCATGCTTTCACCTTCCTGTTTTGCAGACACCTACCCCATCCCCTGCCCCACGCGCCTCGTCTCTTTCAGATGACCATGCAGACGGCCTTGGAAGGGGCGGTGTACTCGGCTCTCAGCGCCGCGCGCACTAAGGGCGACACCGACCAGGTGGCCGCTCTGGAGAACGTGCGCGACTGGCTAGACTACGACTCGACCAACGCCACCCTCACCGAGATGACGGCGAAAGCTGACTTCCTGAGGAACAACTTGGGCGTGGCGGTGAACACGGACTAGTAGGGTTTGTGATTCGACGTGATCGTCTTGCGGTTCGTCGGCTTGTCCCTTTCCGTCTTTTTTAGGATAGATGATAGCTGATTCCTCCTTTTTGAGAAGAAAAGTTGTGGTTGGGTGAGTAGCGGGATAGAAGAAAGAAGCAGGGAGGGGTTCTGCGGGCCGCGTTTAAATCAAACTGTTTGTGCTGACGGAGAGGAGAGAATCAAAGAAAGCGCGTCACAAATATGTTTTTTTATTTTTATCCATGAAGTACAATGTTGTACTAGGTGGGTGCGAGGGATATGTGTCTGGTCATGAGACCAGCGATTTTGTAAACTCCCACGCGTAATTTGAAGTCAGGAACGTTTTCGGTGTCTCGTGCCTTTTTTGTCCGTTCTGAAAGATGAAAAAATGTTGACGAATTCACACGTACGAACTCCATTTTCTTTGTTTGTTTCAACGATCTGGCGCGGATGGATCGTGAGATGAGGGCCAATGACGATGGCCATGTTTCCACTTAATCTTTCGCCGATAGAGCATCATCCGGCACATCCGGTGGTGTGCACTAGCCAACCGTTGGCGTCCTTGACGGAGACAAGCGTGCATGTATCGGTGCGCTCTGTTTCTTGAGAATTCGATCCGGTGGGTTTGCTACCCCGGAGCTGACATATCGAACGTTGCAGCAGTCACTGGAAACAGTCCGTAATCTTCGACGGAACCCAACATTTGTCACAGCCCTGCTCACCGCCACGGACCGTGAACCCCTGAACGGCGGTCAGCAGCAGCTGTCGGCTGGAGTAAGCGAAAGCCTTCGAGTAGCGTTCCTGCTCTTCACCATTACCACCTGTGCAAGAAGGAAAGTGTTGGCAATCCATCGTATGGTGCCCACCGTAGCCTCCAAGACACCCCTTGATGTGCGATGAGCTCCCGCCCTACCACACAAGCTACAGGAATACCCACGTGGGACTCTCGGGACACGGGACAACCACCCCCTCTACCAAGTTCCGGTGTTTCGGGTTAAAGGTAACGGACAGACACGGACTAAACACGTAACAAAATATTATCTCCTGGTGATATCCAACGGTAGTCTGTATCCTGTGGGTACAACAACATCAGGGATCGTATCCAGCAAGGGTGTGGCTTCATGTGCACACGCTGCATCTAACGAGACCGACGTCTAGCGAGTTGGAGCAGCAATCGAACGCGAGTCCAACCACTTTTGAACGTTTTCGTTCCGAACCCACACCATGCCGCCGCTCCCGTCGGTGACACGCTTCATCTTGTCCCTGAAGTCTATGTAGCCATCACCATCCCCAAAAGAAATTCTTTTTCAATAAAATTTTAAAAGTATGTTTAATTTTAGGGCGTTCTAAACCCTCTCAATTTGTTCCTTGTCCATGAACTTCTTCTTCAGCGCTTCATACGAGGCCCTCGTATCCCTTCGCAAAAACTCTGCGGCCATGTTGCCGTCACCCAAAACAGCGCGAAGCAGCGCCTCCTCATCCAGAGTGCGGTCGACTAGCTCCTCGACCAACCCATCTTTCACGTCCTTCATTCAGGAAATCCGAGATATCCACGTTCATCCCTGTCGTTGCGTTAAAAATACAAAGAACAAATCGGGACTCACACACATCTATCTTTCCAACGGAAGGAATACGGGTACAGCAGTAGTAGCGGGTGTGGTATGGTATGCATATTATTTGTATCTCCACGCTCCTCTCGTTTTCAATGCCACCACTGAAAGACTTTGAAACCAGAGCTCCGGCAACCCGTCCCCTTGTTTGTTGTTTGACCCCGTCCCAATGTAACTCCTTGGGTTGGAAGCTCGGCTTGCCGCGGGCAGAGGTTGGCAGAGGTGGGCGTGTGGTCTGCGGAGGAATTAAGAAAAAATAAAATGGAATCACAGCAACGAGACATCACACGGGATGCGGATTGCCATCTGTGCGCCCCCAGAGGTCTCTTTCCCAACTCTTTCCAAACCCTCTTCTTTCTCCGCCCTATCCTCGCTGCAATGTTTGCGTGTGCGTGCGACGGCAGATAGAAGGGTGGGCTGGTTGCTCGAGCCGCATGGTTGAGGTTGTAAGGTGTTTACTTCAACAGCAGCAGCACATGATGACTCGCTCTCTTTTGGTGCTGAATCCCCCCGCATCTCTCGGGGGTCGATCGGTCGATCCACCACTATTTATTTAGCAACGACCTCTCTGTAGGCGTGCTCGCTGTCCACGACCGCAGTGCATCCGAAGCACAGAGAGCTTCAGGAACCTCGGTGACTTCTGTGGCATGCATGGTGGGCCGAATGGCGTAAATAGCTGGGGGGGGTGCCGGCGATTCTCTTCCCGTCGTAGTCAGCGATAAATATTTATCACACACACCTCGATTTACCGCTTTTCGTGACCATGATGATGATGACAATGAATGATGACGTTGATTGACAACAAGCACAACAAGTTGCTGGGGAAGCTACACTGATGGTCGATGGATGATACCCCCGCTTGCACAGCTAGCTACCGCCCGGATTAGGAGGAACCTGGGACAAAGTTGTCGCAACCCAACGAATCTTGCTGTGCAGGGCTCTATACAAGGCGTCACCCAGGTTGATCGTCGGGGGTGTAGGTGCAGCAAAATACATCAACCCCCATTTCCGCTTCCACTCACACACAGAACCACCGCCACGTCTTTGGTCGGTATCAAGCAGGGCTCTCGCCAGACCGTACCGGAGAGCTGCTGCATATGTAGGCACCCGCACGCTTGCTTGGCGAGGTCGCCTCATGTATCGAGCAGCGAAGCTCGCGTCGCTGGCATTACCGCGAGAGACGTCAAGCCGTATGATACGGTCCAGATCGAGGCACATTTATCAAACCTAAAAAAAACACACCAAACCAGCTGCAGGAAGTGTGACGAATCCCGGCATGCAGCAACGGGACGGCTCGCTCGGCAGACTCTTGCCTATGATGTTCCCATCAAAATGAGTTATTTCTACAAGGGTTATACACAACCACACATTTCGGTTTCTCCAACACCGCTGATGAAAGTAGATCAGGTGCATACGTTTCCTACATACTCCGTCGCCATGCATTCATCCCAGGCCCAAAATCAACCGTGCGCGAGCGACCTGCCAACAAAATCAAACCTCCCGTCGTACATACCAGAGGTGCAAACACTCAAATCGCAAGCAGCAGTTATCTCGAAATATCCGTTCGTCCGAGTGCGTGCCAAGGCTAATAGGGATGGGACACATTCAGCCATCAGCAACACATCTCTTTTAACAACGGCCACATCAACCAGGAAAAGCAGGTGGCGCACGACAAAGGAGGTGCACGATCGACCCCACACTACCGATAAACGCCAAAGGCAAGCGCGTGCGACCTCGAACTCAAACTCTGCAATATGACTCCCCTGACCTTACAGACCTTATTGCTTGACTCCACCGGGAATCTGGTCAAACCTACGCCGTTTAGTTCAACGATCCTTGTAAAATTCCTTTTCAGTGGCAAGTGACTCGTAGGCAACCAAAGCATGCCGAGTATGCAGCACCCCAAAATAATACATTCATACAAAATAACGGCGCTAAGAAAACAGAATATGACACAAACCTACAGTATCCACACTGCTGTTACACTCTGCCCAACCCCGCAGACTAAATTGAGAGCGATTTAGTGCTCCTTGTCCCAGCGAGCAACGCCGCGATATCGGGTCGGTGCCGTTGAACCTTAAAAAACAAACACAACACACACACACACCGAACAAAAAAAACAACAACGTTCTTTCGCGATTCTTATCCCTGCATATTTTTTCATTGGCCAGCGGGTAAGCGCGGCCGACAGCCTCTACAACCAAACACGCAACACACGTACACAGGAAGGAGCACACACCACTCACGTTCGAACAGGCACGACACCACACTTACCCCCCCCCCAACCCCTTCAATTCAACCCTCGGGAGAGCGGAGAACTACAGTACACTTTGGGGTCGCTCGACGAAGAGGGTAGGAGGCTGACATCGCCCAACCGCAAGCCGCCCGAGGTGTCAGCCCCGCTCGATAACTCGTCGCGACCGGCGTGAGACACGTCTGGGATCTGCTGGGAAAGGTCGTGCAGCAAAGCGGAAAATGACACAGGGCAAGGGAGCAAGGGAGCAAGCGAGCAAGCGAGCAAGCGAGCAAGCGAGCAGCGAGACGAACCTTGAGCGAGAGGGCGCGCGAGTAGCAAATGCGTCACGTGTTTTGCCACAAGTTCTTCGCGCTCAGGCATGTGGCAGCCTTGTCCGAAAGATAGCCAACCACAGGGGTTTGCGAACGGCCTAGCTTTGGAGCACTGGGAAATAGCCTGGGTCGGGCAGTGCTGGCGATACTTTTTCCTGAGAAAACAAAATCGGCGTGCTCAACGAGTAACTTAAACCGAAACGCCGTCCGGCGTCCGGAATACTTCCCGAAAGAAGAATCGTACGGTGGCGCCGTCGAATCATGTACGGATGCCACGTGCCTATCCGCGCCAGGAGAACGACACACATTTTCTACATCACCTTCTAAACCAATGCCCGCTAATAGGAAACTACAAAAAAAGCTAGCGCTTCAAGGTTCAGTTCGTACTGCTGTACGACTCGCTGCAATAGACTCTCGCCCAGCTTCGTGGGTTTGGCATCGGTCAGTCGGCACAAAAATCAAATAGGCATGCACCGATCGCCCACCTGGCGTTGGAACTCTCGGCTACTATCGCCGAGGCAGCCACGCAAGGTCCTCAGGCTGTCGGTGAGGAGGTGCAGGCGGTCCCATGCCTCCTCCTCCGCCCGGCTTGCTTCCGCGAGGCATCTCGCTAGGCTTCGGTTGGCCTGTCGGCAAAAAAACAACGCAAGAATTGTTTGTTTTTCTCCAAACAAAAACTGTTGCGATCGCAACCCAGTACTGATCTACCACTTGACGCGGTCGATTCCCGTGTACACAGGCGCACTTACGGCAGTACCCTAAATATGTATACTCCAATACAATGGACCCCAAGGGTCTGCAAAACAGTGAATATCAGAGACAGAAAGCAATGCATGAACACGAAGCACGAAAATCCCACGGCATTCCAGGGCGCAGAAACACACCACAGCCAGGAAACGGAGCATCTACAATGGTGTTGAGGGCACGACGGCAAAGCGCAAGAGTACTGGGAGTGGAGGGGGGGGAGTTGGTTGGCAGATGCGTGGAAAAGACAGTGGGGGAAAGAGGCGAGCACCAACTTGAGATAGAGGTGTGCGGGGCAGAGTGCACGACCGCACGCAAAAAAAGGACACGCACACGAATCAAAATGCAACGCATGGCAGCCGCTGCCCTGAGAAGCCGACCCCCGGGTCAATCAGAAAGCAGCAGACGGATTCGAACCATAAATTGTACAACCGACAAGTCCTGGAGAACCAACCCCTCACATCCGCGGTAGGCTGAACAATGTTCCCTGACTGCAGCGCTTGCTTGTCGCCGGCCGCCGCCTTGTGGAGAGACGCCAAAGACCCGCCAGCGGAAGTGTCACTCCGACGCCTTCGAATCTGCAGCAGCAGCAGCAGCAGCAGCCAGGTGTGTTCAGCGGACTCAAAAGACAACTCGTCAGTGGTCATGTCTTGCTAGGCAGAGGGGGTCGCATATTGGTTCACGTGCGAAACTAGCTTAATCGTCGGTTTCACCAACGACTCCTCAGTTGTCATGTCATGTCGTGCTTAGACCCTTCTTTATGGAAACAGAATCTTGCAAATACATCTTGGCATTTTGACCCAAGATTTGCTCACAATATATCTCCGCGAAGATTTGCAGTATCGCGAACTATGAGGGAAATATCTTGAATGTTGAAAAAGCGGCGTGTTGTTCCTCTCTTCTGCTTGAAGTTGATAAAGGCACAACGGCCACGTGGTCCACAGAAAATGCGGAGGTGTGGCGAAAAGTGAGCATGATGCAGTTGTAGAAGGGGCGTCCCTCCCCCAGCTGTATTGCCTCAACACTGTGGGTGGATACTAGCGATGGGCGCCTACCTGGGGTGCAAAATAGAAGCCGTTGCCCACGAGCTCATGTCAAGCGGAGAAAAAAAATTGTTCCATTGCTGTCCAACTGACAAGAAAGTGCATCAACCCGAGGCCGATGAAACCCAAACACTATGTAGCAGGCGTACCGAGGTCAAACCTCCGGCGCTGTCATCTGCACCCACGGATTTGGCTCGGGTGCAAACGGGTTGGGTGTGGGGTGATTCGATGAAGAGATACAAGCGTCGCACACGACAGAGCAGTGTTGGCAAAACGTTCCTCCTCCTCTATTTTTCTACTTCAAAATAAAGTACTCTTTGAACGGTCTCTCGACAGACTGGGGATGACGCAGGTGGAACGAGCCAGGGCAAATACGCATTTTTTTCGGGCGCCTTGGTCGTTTTCGTTCGCTGTCGGCGCCCGTGGCGCCGACACAGTAACGCCAGGGTGCGTTAGAGACCTTGTGAGTGTGCCACGTGCAGATTTCATGGCGTTATGGACGATTAGGTTGACTGACCTTCGGTGATCGCGCCGCACTGAGGCAAGATTTGTTACACCGCCTCAAGATTTGTCGGAAGGCTCGTTTCGACAGATCTTGGGTCAACATTTGTTCGAAAGGGCAGATTTCGGGCCTCGAGAAATCTTGGCCAAGAAGTATCGGAATATTTCGCTCCCGTAAATCGTGAAACTGGCAGGTCTTGGTCAAGATCAACGTTTATCGACAAGATTTTGTTCCCATAAATCGGGGTCTTAGCAGGGTCGCATACTGGTTCACGTGCGAAAATAGCTAGCTTCGTTGTTTTGGCCGTTCGATGGCAACAATCTTTCAGGCCAGCTGTCTCATGTATTGGGGTTCCGTCGGGGTGGCGGAGTAGCAGCCGTGGCAAATAAATGCTACCGAAATCGAGAGTCTGCCAACGGCCTCGAACACTAAGGCGGCGGGATTGTCGATTAGTCATCCGGAGATACGCGGTTAAACCCTCAGAAGCAAACGGCTCGACAACCCCGTCGAAGCATCTCCACTCAACAAAAAAAAAAACTGACTCCATTGATACAGTCTACGGTGCAGCGCCGAACAGCTTGCTACCACTTCCCGCAGATCTCAAGCCCGGGATTGTTGTACAACCTCGCGTTTGGAGCCGACGAACGGCAACCCGTTTCATGCACCGGCTACAGAACCAGAATGAGCCCGGAACAAAGAAACACAAACTTATATTAACCCATCGCCGCTCCCCGTTGTGCCTAAGGTAACAGCGGTACAGCGATAAAACCCACCTCCGGAGCGGAGTCAGAAGCCGTGTCGCCGGTGCTCCCTCTACGCTCCCCGGCGTTCAGCAATAGCAGCGGACGCTCCGATTCAGCCTTGAGCTCGGACATGGGCCCCGGAAATGCCCTGGTGTTTTGGCCATTTGCCAACGCCAATCGCAATTTGACATTGCACGTCGAACGGCGCCCGCGGCAAACGAAGTGCGATAACGTAAACATGTTGCGAGTGCACTATACGGAGTAACGTAACCCACAGCTACATGATGAAAATGAAAAGAATGCGGAGAGGCGTTGGTTTGGGAGGGTGGGAGGGAGGGGCACGCTGGTTCTGGAGGTTGACACCCTTTGCCCGTTGTCTCGTCGACGGCAGGCTCACAGGAATCTCGAAACAGGCAACACACACAAACACACACGACATATAGATCCCGCATTCTCAAGCGCATGAACAGCACCGTGCCCGGCCCGTCTCCATGGACAGATCAACAAGCCGTTGTGCCGAGGGCAGAAGAACACCATGAACAGAACCGTGCCCGGCCCGTCTCCATGGACGGATCAACAAGCCGTTGTGCCGAGGGCAGAAGAACCCCATCGAGCAGCGAAATAAAGGGCAGGATTACCTCGCGATCCGTCTTAGCGCTTTCCCCTCGATGGTGTACATCTCGCACTCCGTCACGCACGTGACCGATTCTCTACGAACACCACCCCCGTGAAGCGCCGCCGTCGCCCCAAAGCACGACCCGGCGCTCAGTCTTCCAACCTGTCGGGATCGCAAAACAGTAAAAACATGAAACATGCACGCAAGATCCAACGTGTTGATCGCAAAACAACAGGAAAAAAATGACACATGCACGCAAGATCCAACCTGTTGATCGCAAAACAACAGGAAAAACATGATACATGCACGCAAGTTCCAGCCTGTTGTTCGCAAAACACGGAAAAACATGAAAAACATGCGCAAGAAACTAGTGTCGGAGCGGGCCGAATGCCACCTGGCACACACACGCAAGGGCCGCCCGTTATTGTACTTCTCCGGAAACGCTCATGAAAGCACCGGCCGGCCGGTTAGACTCCAATCTACGGATAACCAACCACACCACCTCAAGTGAAAACACGACTGCACCCCCCCCCCGACAACCAACACCACCCACCGATGGCATCGAGTGAGGAACCGGCCGACTTTGTTTTTTCTTTCCTTTTCTGGTATTCTCACCTCCACGCCTCGGCGAGTGACCGTCGCCCGCCCGCGCACGACGAAGATGGTCTCATCCGAAACGCCTTCCTCGAGCAAGACGCGCTCCCCAGCCTGCCAGTAAGAGCAAACGCCAGCGACGACACCGGCCAAGAGCGAGGGAGGAGAGACCACCCACCACTCGCGTCAATTCCCTCTTCTCTTTTGTGTTGTGTTCTGTGAGGCTCCTGTGCACGCACGGCTACTGCGGCTCTTGTGCACACACGGCTATTCAGTACCCGGGCTGCTGTTCGAATGCTCCCAGCGCGAGCAACTATCGAACGAGCTGACGAGGCTACTACCGGGGACAAAAACACCGCTCCCCACCAACGTCCTCTTGAAGAGCGTAATCGTACCGCAGCTAGAGTACGCCGGACAAGTATGGGAAGGAAATGAGAAGGTAGTCAAAGAGCTCGAGGCGGCGCAGATGAAAGCAGCGAAAATCATCCTTGGATGTTCCAAGCACACAAGTAATGCAGCCGTCAGGGCAGAACTGGGGGTCCGATCCCTACGATCGGGAAGAGACGCAAGGAAGCTGACATGGCAGTATCGCATGTGCGGTATGGGCAAGGAGAGGTTACCGAGAATAGCTTGGGAGGCGGAGTGTGCAATCAAGAAGAGGGGTAGACAACCCGCGGAGTGGGTCAAGGTTGTAGGTGAGGAATGGAAAGATTTCGGAATTGACGAAGGCGGTACGCTGGAAACTGAGGGTCTACAGGGGTTCAAGGAGAAGATATCTGTTGCTCTTGCCGAGAGAGAAGAACATGATCTAAGAAAAGAAACCAAGGATAAGGAGGGTGTAGATGTGTACGGAATGTTGAAAGAAGGAATAGGGTTCAAGGATTACCTACATGGACCAATGGATGCAGGGACAAAGCTTAAGGTCAAATTCAGGATCGGGGACATTTGCCGCCGAGAACGTACACGGTACACGGTGATATGGGAAGATCAAGACGCCAAGTTCAAATGTGATTGCGGCTCAGTGCGAAGACCGTGATCATGTAGTCGAAGAATGTCGGCTGTACAAGAGGGGGAGGGAAGTGCACATGACTGAGCTGGGAAAAGTACATGTAGAAGAAAAGTACAGGGAGATGTTTGAGGCATGGGATAGCCAGGACAAGACGTTTGTTGTACTGGGGCATAGGAAGTGGGTTGAAAAGGCGGGAAGTGACATCGTTAGGATAGATAACTAGTCTAGGGAAGACATTTTTGAGCCACCTTTGGCAAAGTAGGAAGGAACGATTGGCCATCGGTGATCGGTCCTGTGGGAACAATGCTCCGTCCTCTCGAGGACGCGTGGTCAATGGTCTAACCGTTAAGGCAGGCAACGTAAGAACAAGAGTACGCCCCCGCCAACGTCCACACAGACCAGCAAACCTGGTCTGGTAGATACCCCTTGCTGTCGAAGAAAGCCAATAACACACCTTGGGGTAAATGTGGTCGTGCATGGATCGCATGACGGACGTCACGAACACCGGGCAGACATCCTTCCGATCCTTGAAGAACTGTATCCTCGCGATCTATCAGCAGCAGCAGCAGCAGCGGCGGCGGCGGCGATGGTGGTGGCGGCGGCGGCGACAAAGGCACGGGAAATTGACAACAAACCAAACCGAACAAAACCAGGTCAGCGTGCGGGGTTCGCCCAATAATTACTGTACACATAAAACACCGAGGTCGGAAAATACGGCAAAGTGCAAGGAGGAGCCGTCGCGCCCTGAGTTTCGCGACCAACAAATAGCAGAGTATATATTTGTGTGCCAAGCCACGTGTACTAAATAAACCCCTCGCAGTCACGGTCGCCCCCCCCCCCCCAAGCTACCTGTCGTCGGTAGATGCACAGAAGCGTGGAGGTGCGAACGCTCGAGGGCAGCAGCTCGAGAGTGTTTTGAGCCTTCTTTTCCAGCATCTGGTGCGTCTCCCCGGAGATGTTGAGCGTGCGCATGATCTGCGGACGAGTTTCGTCCGTACGGCGTCCGCACACAAGAACGGCACGGGCCAAAAAAAGGGGAGGGGGAACGTTGTTACTTCTTCGCACGCTTGCATAAGCCTCGGAGGGGAAGGGAAAAAAACGGCACTGCTTGTAAGCACGCGCAGGTGCTTTGTCTGCGTTGGTGAAAACTTGCGGCGCTTTTGCAGCGCAAAACAAGCACAAGATAACAAACGCATAAAAAACAAACAAAGAAAAATGCAGCTCAAAACTCAGGAAGAGCACAAAGACGAGGACAGCAAAAACCGAGAAGGTTGCACCCTCAGCGAGGCTGGCCGGGATTCTTGCCTAGTGTTGCTCGAGAATAGCAAGCAGACGAGGCACGTACGGCAGCACAATACCACCACCAACATCCAGGTTGGCGAGTTGGACGATTGGTCACATGCGAGAAAGCCGCCGAACCCTTAAAAAACGCACCCCTACATATTATTTCATGGCCACGGTGCACCGCAAAAAAAATAAATAATGGTGCACACAATCAGGGTTCTTCTTCGTACCTCGGAGGCTAAGTACTGCGGGAGCGAGTGCATGCGGATGAACGCCTCCGCGTGCCGCTCTATGCGCCTTGACTGCGAATGCCTGGCGACCACAGTGGTGATGATGTGGCTCACGGCACCGATCGCGAGGGCATACATCGTGGCCCCCGTCAACATCACCTGAGCAAAAAAAGAAGCCGTTCACATGGCGGCGAAGCGCGCGGCGGTACGAGCAGGTGGGGAGGGGGGCAAGACGTCATGATGCGTGCTCGTGAGAGAGAACATCAACCGTTCTGTGGCAAAACACCGTCCAGGCAGGTACAGGGGCCGAGGGTTCCGCAACAGCAAAACAACAACGTATGTGAGCGGCGTGTCCCCAGACCTGGTCGGCTCTTCAACCATGAAACGGCCCAGCACGACACTGCGAGGAAACGCCCTAAGAATGGCATCGCGACGCAGCCGGGTGTTCGGTTTTGCGTCCGACGCGTCAGAAGTCACCGAGGAGACAAGCGCTCATCTCCTCAAATTGACTGGACCTGGGGTCCGACGGACTATTGTAGGTGACACAAGATACCACACCCTCTGGACCGATTTTCGAAGCTCGATTACTCCACCAAGAAAAGGACACGCCAACCTCAACTGATGCGTTTCCGGAAAGATCTCAACGAGACGGTTCCAATGCCGACATTTTCGGGCAACACCATTCTTTCTGCTGGTGGAGTAGTCGAGCGTTGGTGTGGCATCTTGGTGTCACCTCCGGTACTCCCGTGAACAGGCGATAAATCTACCCCCCCCTCCCCCCTGGTCCGGTGAGAACCCGGCGTGCTCCGTCCCGGCTTTGTAGGAATGCGAGGTCATAGGTATATCGACTACGGCATGCACGACTATGAGTACCCCCCCCCCCCTGTGAAGTAAGCACAACAAGATGCCGAACACCCTTAGCAGGATGCAGCGCACCCTTCATGCGACTCGCCCAATACCTCACGGTGTGCTCCGTCCCGGCTTTGTAGGGATGCGAGGTCAAAGGTATATCGACTACGGCATGCACGACTATGAGTACACCTCCCCCCCCCCCCCCCCCTCCTGTTCCGCTCTAGCTCGCCCCCACCCTAAGGCCGGCCAACGAAAGCGGGGGCACCACCTAAAACCCTGGTCGCAGCAGCACTACATGAACAACTCACCAGGATGCAGTATGTCCTCTCGGCGATCGTGCTCGCGAAGATGTCGCCGTAGCCGACAGTGGACAGCGTGGTCACGGTCCAGTACACCGAGGTCACGTAGAGCGTGGAGGCCGGCGCGTCTTCCAGGCCGTCTTTTACGATCCTGACGGGACGACGGAGAAGGAGTCCAAGACGACATCAAGAATAGAATCTTGCGAAGTTTGCAGTCTATATATTCTTCTCGGCTCTCGGGGCATCTACGTTGCTATCGACGTGTCCGTCTTCGGGAAGATGCCTCTCTCCTTGTTCTTGATGTCCATTTTGCATGGCATCCTCTCTCATTCCCAAAACCATATTTTCTGGAATGCCTACCCATGATGTTTTCTATTCTCACGCTCCGTATCAGCATCTCACCATGAGAGGTCAGCGTCCTCCATGTCCGCCAGGAGGTGCCAGCCGCACGCCACCCAGTGCATCACCAGAAGGATGTAGAGAACAACCTTAGCGGCGATTTGGACAAGGGAAAAGGGTTCGGTCCTGCAAATGAGTTTACGGGATACTGCTGCGAGTCCTGTTGGTTGCCATTTTTTTCATCCATCCCATCCGTTCCACACAGGCGCCGGTCTACACCCTTAAGGCTCGGCTAATCCTAAGATCCAGCTAAGGTTAAGATTCAGCTAAGGGCGCATAGGCGAGAACATGCGGCGTACGTGCAAACATGTTATCCTACCTTCACCAAGTTGTACATGGCGAGAAGAATGTTCTTTCGGTTGGTCTTCTCCGCCTCCTCGCTGAGCATCTTGATAGACCGAATCAACCTCAGGGTCTGGGGCATCCTGGCCAGCCTTGTCACCTTGTTGGAGATGCTGAACGTGTGCACGCCCAGCATCTGTTCGAATGGGCAAATCGGCCATCAAGGGGTCGCGACCGACCGACGTGGGTGACGAAATGTGTGAGTCCGTCAGCGACGGTCTCGCTCCGAGGGGGTATGTACGGGGTCGAATAGACACTATGATAAATAGCCCAATAGGGGGCGGCAAAACACAGTTGAAAGAGTCAGAGCTAGTCGTGGGCAAGTACGTGCGCTTCAAGCAGCAAACACACGCCTCATGAACGAACACCTCAACGCACAGACAGCCATACGCGGCCATGTTCGATCTTGTTCAACGCACTCAAGACACAGACAACAAAGACACGCCAAACTAGCCACCCATCGGGGGCTCTCCCGAACACAGACCCAACACGCCTGCGGCGAACCCGAACTCACGATGGTCAGCGGGACAGAGGCGATGAGGTCGAACACGAGCAGCCCGCGGGAGTAGTTCCGCGCGATCGCGATGGGCTCGTAGACCACCCTGTTGGCGTACTCGTCGTGGTACGCCGTCAGGAACCGCGCCGCGAGGTCTACCAGGAAGCACACGTCCACCACGAAGTTGAAGGCGTGCCAGTCCTCCTGCCAGGTCGGGGCAGAAAATTAGGGAACGGCGCGGGGGGGGGGGGGGCAACCGGATCCCTTTTACAGCACACTTGCCGCAAAACCCCCCAACGATGTGACCTAAACTGGGCATGGGCCCCCCACCAGTCTACTGGTTGGGTAGCACAAATGCCTGCCCCTTCCCTATAAAGCGCTTGGAAAATACGTACCCCTGCCCAAGGGGGGGGGGGGTCCGATCAAATACAACACCCGCAGTTTCCCCGTCCAAATCGGTCCCCAAAAGGGCCCCAAGTTTCAACTCAAGTCCCCGGGATCCGCGCCCTTAGTGCCTGCCTACCACCCCCGTGTCGCGCTACTGGAAATGGGTGTCCCAACCGGGGCCCCCCCCCCCAGGGGCAAAAAACATAAAGGGTGCAAAAAACAAAAAAATGGCGTAACGACTATCACCCCCAACAAAAACCCCCCAGGGGCGTTGGGGTGGAACCCCCCCCTTTCGGGTTTTGGGTCCACGCCTTGAAACAAAGGAAAAAAAAACCCTTTGGTAAGGGAAAATCTTCCGGGAAGGGGGGGGAAAGGTGGGGGGAATACCAAAAAATCCCGGGTGCCTGTTTTTTGAGGTGGGGGAAACAAAATCAAAAACCGGGTTCCCCCCCCCCCCCCTTAATTTCCCAAGAAAAGCCCCCGGGGGAAAAGGAAAAAAAAACAAACCCCCCCCCGCCCCC